TGTCAAACATTTTAGATAATTTTCTTTTTTTTTCTTATTTTCTTTATTTGAGTGGTGATGAACACCTCTACAAATATTTCTCCTCTCCCCAGTAGCATCTGTTGATGTTTTAGACCTGTATAACCCATTCTTCTTTTCTACATCAGTTTTTGGAGGGCTTCTGTGTGCTGCGGTATGTTTTGGATGCTTACACTGTGTGATGTGTGGCACGAAGCTCTGGTGGGTGAGTGTGTGAGGCAGCTATGGAGTGTCTGTGTGGTGCCTCATGCTGTGACTGTTCTGTGTGACTGCAGCTGTGTCCCTTCTGCAGGGTGAAATGGTACAGAAATGGTGACTGGCTGCAATAAATGCTGCTTTGTGATACCATGGAAAATCAGTTAGGGCTTGACTTTTATTTGTTGCTTGTTGTGCAGGAGGGAACTATGTGTTAAGTGCATCTTCCTGGCGGGAGGGACAAAAGCTGGTAAAAAAGATCCTGGGTCCAGCTCCCAGAATAGAACAGGACAGAAGAGCTGTATCCAGTGACAGAACAGGACGAGAGAGAGCTGCCAATTCTGGTAAGTTGTTCTTTCATCACTGGGCTTATTCCAGTTTACTTAATTTATTACCTAACACTGCCTGTCTGCGGAACGGAGCAGACGTCTGAGGCAGAATGTGGTCAGTTCCTTAATAAAATTCCTCCTATTTTTAACCTGGAATTGGAGGGAGGTGGGGGGAGTTTTGCTCACATTCATGGTTGGGATGTGTAACCTCCCTTCCCATTGTGGGAAGCATTACCTGTGCCTGGCACCTGAGGGGTGGAATGTGCTGCAGAGTTGCTTGGGGGCTCTGGAAAAGATGAGATATAGGTTGTATTGAAAAAAATGGCTCATCTGCAATCTGTCTTTGCCTCTTGAAGCTCATAGGGAGAGGAATAGCTAGCAGTGGTCCACAGGCCAAATGAATTTTCCAGGTGTGCTGCATGTAACGCATAAACTGTGATCGGGCATCACTGTTTAACAGGAATTGTGGTTCTTCCAGATGCTGGATAGCATCATCCATGAGCATCATAAATCTTCACTGATTCCTTCACCAGCCTTTTTCAGAATTTGTCCAGAATCTCAGGGCAAGTAAGGGACAGTGGCAGCTGGTGCTGCTTATGCCTGTGAGGTGACAAGGCTGGTAAGAGTCTCAAGGTTGTGGATTCAGTCTAAGCAAAGGCTGCCACATTCATTCTGTGACACTTGAGTGAAGCAGAAGCACATTTACAGTGAGGTCTGTGCTCCTCCCTCATCCTCACTCTTGCAGCTGTTTCAGTGATGGCCTGTAATTTCCTGAATTTGATCGTCACCTGAAACATTTGACACTTGATTGTGGCATTTTTTTCTTCAGCAGGCTGCATTGGAAGGACAGGTTCAGATTCCAGACTGGATGTGACCCGTAAAACCTCTTCAAGAAGTTCTGAAAGGAGTACTTCAAGAAGTAAAGTACGGTCTGAGAGTAATCTGAAGAAACTGGATGCTCCTCTTCCAGATGATAACCAAGAGGATCATGGCTCTGTGAATAAGGACTTCCTGCCTCTGGAGATACGTGGAATTCTTGATGACTTGCAGTTGGATTCCATGAGTACAAAGCAAGAGAAAGATGTGGAGAAACAGAACCAAAAATCTGTTTTGCCCGTTCAAAATACCAGGAGCCACAGTCCAACCAAAAGGAAACCAGACAAGGTAGGTGCCAGCGAGGAGCCCCAGGTGATCTCTAAGAAACGCCACTATGACTCCAATGAGGTTCGTCAGTACATCATCAAGCAACAAGAGGAGAGGAAGAAGAAGCAGAATGAAGAGAAGAAAGCACAAAAGGAAGCGACAGAACAGAAGAACAAAAGGCTCCAAGAGCTGTACAGGAAGCAGAAGGAGGCTGTTGCTAAAGCAAAGAATGTGCCTCCTCCTGAGCCTTCAGCAGCCAAACGGTTACAGGAAACCTATTCCAAACTCCTGCTGGAACGAACACTTTTAGAAGAGCCACCTCAGCTGCCTACGGTGCAGGAAACACAGGTACAGCTGATTCACTAACTTCACGTGTTGCAGTTTGCAGGAATAGGAGGTTGTGTGTTTAGGAAGGTCGTGGCTTGTCCTAGTCTGGCAGTTTTGAGTTAAGCAGAAAGAACCAAGAGAAATGTGTAGCTTTTGCTTACACATGGTGGTTTCAGGGTGCAGCCTCCTTGCTGGCTGCTTTTGGCATGGCAAGGCCTACTAGAGAGACGCCCGAAAAAACATCTTTCAGTTATAAATGGAAGATGAATTCTGGATATTAGCCTTTCAGTTTTAATGAGAACTTCTGAACTCTGACAGACTTTTGCAAATGCATTTTTCTGCTTGTCTTTATCTCCAGCCCAGACCTGGTTATCAACCATCCGGGGAATCCGACAAAGAAAACAAGGCTCAAGAGCGTCCTCCGAGCGCCTCCTCAAGCAGTGACATGTCCCTGTCGGAGCCACAGCAGCCCCTGCTGAGGTGAGCCAGGGTGGACCTTTGGGGACAGAGGGAAGTGCTCCTGCTTTCCCCTCTGAGAGATGAAACAGACTTGGCTAGTGAGTGCATGTTCCAGTGAGAGTAATTGTCTTTGTGGCAATTGTAATGTGTCCTGGCAGTAAAGAGGAAGCTGATGGAGGAAAGCACGTGAGAACTTTGTGGCTAATTAGTGAGTCTGTAAATAAATAAAGTGAGTGGTGGTTGCTGGTAACCTGCTGACATCAGTGGGATGTGTGTATCATATTGGGACACTGTTTCCTCTGCCATTGCCATCGAGGGAGAGAAGCTGTATGAATACAGCTGCTGATTTTTCTTACCTGATCAGTTCCATGGTTCTATTTTATCTATTGTCTTGCATTCAGCCTTTAGTTACTCTCTCTAAAGTACCAAAAACCTCTGCTGCTGCCTGGAACTAGCATTTCCCTATTTCCTTTTATGCTGCTTTGCCAATTTTCAAGTATTCATTGGATTGTCAAAGTTTTTCTTACCTAAGTCAAGGTGCCTAACCAAATGCTTGAATATAAAGAACTGAAAATCCTGAAGTTGCTTGAATATCCTCATTATCCTTGTTGTGCAAGTGTCTTCATTTTTAATTACATGAGGGTATCTGCTTCTTAAATACAAATGTGCTTCAGTATCTGTACCCTGACTTTGTTAATTCAACAAAACCTGTTTCCCTTCTGGAAAAGTTCAAGGAAGCACTAGGAATGCATGTGCTGCTGTGTGTAGAGCAAACTGCTACAGCATATGGTGGTAAATTTTGTTAGTGTAACATCAGAAGGTAAAAAATTAATTGCTAATAGTGGAGGAGAGATGAGACTTAAAGGGCTGCCTAAGTTTTTCAGAGACTCTCACAGCAGTCAGGGAAACAGTTCAGGATTTTCCAGGTTTCCTAGGATTCTGAACATGGTGAAGGAGGATCTCTTCAGAGCTTTTGTCGTGCAAATGGGAGTTATCTGAAAATAAAACCAATGTCTTATAGAACTTTAAGCATCTCTGTATATCCCTCCTCCTTTTCTCTTAAGTGTTCTCAAGGCCTGGATTAAGTGGCAGCTCCACTGGAATACAGGCTGGGTTCAGCTGTAGAGGGAATGGTGCTGAGAAACTCCAAGGAAAAATAAGTTTCCTTCCTTTTGAAGTCAGGAAACTTTTGTAAAAGACTTACTGCTGCTGCTGAAAAATCTCAGCTTTTTACAGTTCCAAAACAAACTGTGCACCATAAAGGGCGTTTCAAATTTGGAAGGTGCTGTGTTGTTTGGTTTGTTGATTTTTTTGTAACACTCTGTAACTGTTTATTGTCTCATTCCCTGCCCTTCTGATTCTACAAAAAAATAGTTCTTCCTGAAAATTGTTAATGGCAATGCTGTATTTTAAAACAACAGTCTTTGTGTAAGTCATAGAATCAACCTGGTTGGAGGAGACCTCCAAAATCATCAAGTCCAGCCCTACCGTGGTCACTAGCCCATGGCACTGAGTGCCACATCCAGTCTCAGCTTGAAAACCTCCAGGGATGGTGAATCCACCTCCTCCCTGGGCAGCACATTCCAATGCCTGATCACTCTCTCCTTAAAAAATCTCTTCCTAATATCCAACCTAACCCTTCCCTGGCAGAGCTTGAGTCTGTGCCCTCTTGTCCTGCTGCTGGTTGCCTGGGAGAAGAGACCAACCCCCACCTGACTCCAACCTCGTGTCAGGGAGTTATAGTGTCATCAGCCTAAATGTTGACTTTTCATTTCAGGAGCGATATGATGGAGCCTCCATGGGTACAGCCAGACAGGCTGAGCCCAAGAGTCCAGCTCCCTCACCCACAAGCTCTCTTGGGCTCAAATGGAGGCCCTTGTTCCCAGCACTGGAGCCTGGAGCAGATGGAGCTCTTGTCCAAGGAGTGTGACGCGATGTTGGCAGGCAGGAGGAGTCACGCTGCGCCCGTGGGGTCACTGATGCCTCAGCCATACCTGAACCCACCTGCTGCACAGCCAAATCTCCTAGTCAAACCTACTGCTAGCCAATACAAGAGCAAACTAGATCGCATTGAAGCTCTGAAAGCTACAGCTGCTTCCCTTTCTAGCAGGATTGAAAGTGAAGCCAAAAAGTTGGCTGGTGCTGGTGTCAACTACGGTACCGTGTGGAACTCGGAATTTATGCAAGAAAACCAGAATGATGGACGGTGGGCAAAGCCTGTGAGTCCTCCTGTGAGGGAGGAAAATGAAGATGCTTTCTCAGCCAGAATTCAGAAAATGTTGGGTGCCTGTGTGTCTCATACAGCCTTTGATGACAACCTTCCTGGGGTAGGCAACCTTAGTGAGTTTAAAAAGCTCCCTGAGACCATCAGGCCTCTTGCTGATGTTGTCAGCCTTGGATTGAGGTCCCCTGCTGCTAACAGGCATGAGGGGATCCTGGGACATTTATCCAAGAGACAGACTGACTCCCCAGGGCATGAGAACCAGGCGTATGCTCAGAACAAGGCTGTGGTTCCTCCTGAGTCCAGCATCGACTCCATCAGCGAAGGACCCCTCCTGAGTGATGGGAACCTCTCTGAGGAGGAAGGAGGCCAGCACAAACAGATGCCCCTGAAGATGCTGGAGACATTAAAAGAGAAGGATTTCTGCATTCGGGAGAAAAATGCTTTTGAGCCCATAAAGGAGTTTCAGAAAGCAGCTGAGAAGTACTCACCACTCTTCACTCAGACAAGTGATGCACGCAGCAAGGGGCCCTGGGAGGAGCTGGCAAAGGGAAGTCCCCACAGTGTCATCAACATCTTTGCAAAAAATTATCAGCTTCATGGTAAAGGTAAAAATGGAATAATTTCTCAGACCTCTTGTGAATTACTATTTTCCCAGTCTTACTACTCCTTACACTTTATGCTTCGCAGGTAAGGGATGTGCTGTTAGAGGTCTCAGTCACGAGTCTGTGTAAGGCATGATTTACACCTGGCTCATGCAGGATGCTTCCTTTCTTTTTTATTTTTTGTAGAAATCATAGAATATTAAGGAGTTGGAATGGAGCTTGGAGGTCATCCAGCCCCAACCCCTGCCCTGGGCAGGGACACCTCCCACCAGAGCAGGTTGCTCAAGGCTCATCCAACCTAGCGGTGAACACTCCTAGGGTTGGGGCAGCCACAGCCTCCCTGGGCAACCTGGGCCAGTGTCTCACCACCCTCACAGGGAAAACTTCTTCCTGATATCTAATCTAAATTTCCCCCTCTTTTCAATTTATCCCCATGGCACTTTGTCCTATCACAAATTTATTCCTCATTTTGAGTACTGTTTCTCTTGCCTGGAGCTCAGTCTGAGAAGAAATATTGAAGAGGAAGTTGATTTTTATCTTGATTCTTTTTCCCTTCATTTTATTTCTCTCCAAGATGATTGCATTAAGTTTTCTGCAGGTGCCTCTTCTCTAAAGCACTGTGCTCTTCAAGGATGTTTTGGTGGGAGTGTGTTAAAGCAGTCAATAATTTACAAAAAGAGGAAGACTGTACTCGTTGCGTTGTGTTAAAACTGCCATGGGATGGCTGTACTGCTGTCCTGCTGATGGTTTTGTGCTTGAAAAGGAGTCTTGTGGTTGGGAGCAGTTCCTTTCCTGCAGCTTTATTACCTGTTTGATGCACATTTGCCTTCGGTATCATTTTGTCTTACCCCTTCTTTGTCCACACCTCAGTGTTTGACGAAAGGCCGAACGGAGGCTCTGCCCTTCTGCGCCCTTTGCTCCCTGCCTTGAGCCCCCCAGAGAGTGTGGCTTCTTATGAAGATGACTTTGCCTCATCGCAGGGAAGTAGCACTTTAACAGACAAGAAGATTGCACGTGACCTCAGGTAAATGTATTAGACTTGTTGTCAAAATGCAGAATTCCACAGAAAATAGTGCAAAATTTGTTTCGTAATGTGCTGTGTGTCTTTGCTGCTGTGATGTGCTCAAAGTCAGAGTGGTGAAGGACTTTCTTAGGACCTTGCAGTTAATACAGCAACCAGCATGGTTCAGACAAGAAGGTTAGAGTCAAGTGTTCTGTCCTCCTTGTGATTTTTGGTGTTCTTCAGACTGGATAGGTAGCTTTAGGCAAGGTTCTTACCCTTTAGAGTCAGGTGAAAATTACTTCTCCAGCTTGTGTGGCTGCTGTGATGCTCAATTAGTCTTTGTAATTTGGAATAAAATAGGAGATCTATTTGGAAATCTTAAAATGCCTTCAGTATTCTGAAACTTTGTAAAAACCTTACAATTGCTTTCTGTAAGGATTTAGCAATGCTTAGTAATGGGTATATAAATTGAATGTAGGAACTTCTAAAACTTTGTTCAGAGTAAAATCTGAAAATTGTAAAACCTGGACTTTGTGTTAAGACTGAATTCATGTGACTTTGTGAATTTCCTAAGTTTTCCCTCCTAATTACATATATTTTGGGCACCTTGGAGGAGGCCACAATACTGTATTTGTACTGGTGATACTTCATCTCAGAAGGAAGGAAGGTAAAAGGCACTTTGCACACTGAAAATGTTGGCTGCAAAAAGTGGTTTCTTTCTGATTAAGACAGGTTTTGTAATCATTCATTCAGAGTTGCTCAGATTTCTGTCAGTTGATGCTGTCTGTATGCCCAGGGATTATCTGACATTGCAGTCACATCTGGGGTCATTTGTGGTTGAGATCTGGAACCAAAATTGGAGTGGATGGTTGTTATCCATCTTGTACTGTTTCATATTGGTGGAAGTATGTTGCAATATGTCCAATATCATGTCAAACTTCCCAGTGTTTTAGCTGGCATAGTTTTTAATCTCAAGGCCAAAGCTTTGCTAGATGGGTTTGATTTCAGTCACCTGCAGTTTCAGTCATCTGTCTCTAATTCAAAGGGGTTTGGTTTTTCTTGTGCGCAGTGTACTGTGAGAGCTGGAAGTCCTTAACCACTATCACTGTGCTCCTTTATAGTGTTGCTGGCAGCAGCAATTCAAGCATTCAGGAAGAAGTTCCAAGCAGGAAGTCTCCCCATGATCCTCGATCTGCAGAGCTCACTTCCCAGCACTCCTCTGGGCCACGGTCTGCAGCATCTTCTCGCTCATCTGCTTCCTCTAAAAAGAGAGGGAAAAAGGAAAGTGAGTGCACTACTTGAATGTAGAATGTCCTTTATTTTATGAAGCAGGTTTCAGATTTTTCTTGTTAGGAAAGTCCCAGCTTTTCTACATATCCGGAAACTGTAATACTGATGGAATGATTGATTTATTCCTCCAGTGGTTCCTTCCTAGATTCTTTTTGACTCTGAGTATTCTCTGACCTTAAATACCTTGTGGGAACTATCCTCAGATTCTGTAGTGAGGAAATGTCAATAGGCTGCTGAGAAATCAAGAGTCTTGGCCATGTTTATGAATGTGACAACAAGTTTGCCTATATGCTTTGTCTTTGGATCAGTTTCCATAAGTGCACAAAGTAATAAATACACTTCTTCCCACTGTAACTTGTACATTACCAAAGCATGAGGAAACTTGAGGGCTGGTACACTGTTACTATATAAGCAGTGGATAACATAAGGAAAACCTAGGTTTAAAGCAAATAAAAGCATGTGAAAAGTGGGATTGGGCATTGCAATTTATCTCTCTTCTTGTTTTATTTGCATTTATTTACGTTTCTTGCTTGTTGGATGCATAGACTTCTAATCAAAAGGAATCTTTAACTGGGGGGGGAAGTTCTCATTTAATCATTTTGGGGCTCGTGGTGGTAAGATATTCACATGTGGAATAGCAAACCAACTTTTGGCACTGTTGTTTCTTCTTAGGGTTGGACTCTTTTAATGGAAGCTCTCACCACTTCTCTGTGGCCGAAGATAAAATACTGTCTGAGTTGGAATGGGGATCCCAACAGGCAAAGAAATCCTTATCGAGTAGCAGAATTTCTAGCAAAGAAAATGAGCAGAACCCAGATACAGACAGCACACTGGAAAACTTGTCTGGACACTCCCTGGTGAGGTAATGTGAACTTTCTAAGACTTTATGCAAAGAGAACAAAGCTTGGTAGTGTTATGGCTCTATCTTTGGATATGCAAAAAGAAAGTCACGGAAATGACCAAATGTTACTAGATGGGTATAGGGAAAATGATTTTCCCTTGGTTTTAGGTATGAAAGCCTAAAGTAGATGTCTCTAGTAAGAGAAAATACAAATCTGATTGCTTCCCAAATGCCCTGTGTTTTTGTGAGGATAACTGGCCAGTGTAGGTGTCCTGTCACATTCAGTACCCTAAGCACTGAAGTACAGCTTTTGTTTCCCGCTTCTCGAATTGGTCTGTAAGAAGTGTGTCAGGGGAAGTATCTAGTGAACCTGTGGAGTCATCCTGCTCTCTTCAGTAGATCCACAGACTTTTTTGGCTGTGCTTGTGTTCAGCTAATGTTCACAAGCCTGTCCAGCTCTGTGTGTTGCTGCTTTTTGAGAAATGAACCAATCCTTGGAAAAGAGCATGTAAAAAGAGGAAGAAACGTTAATTTTCTGTTATGTCCTCAACATGTCTAGCTAAAAGTGCGGTTTTTCTGCTAATTGCGATGAAGGTGGTCATGAAATACTTAGTTTTCACTGCACTTTTTTTCTACAAAGCAGCAAGTAATATGAGGGACTTCTCATTCTGTGTTGGTGTGGAGCAGTTCTGAGGTATTGACTTCTGTCAGCTTTCACTGACATCCAGTATCGTGTTTGAAAGGTCCTGTGACCTCCTAAGGTTTGTCAAGTTGAGCATAATGTCTTCCTAAAGGATCTGAGCAGCCACTATTAATCCTGTTTGACTTAGTAAAATTAGAATAGTAAATTTAATAAGTGTCTGCATAATTTTCTCTATGTTTAAAAAAAGAGATGTTTAATTTTCTGTTATGAAGTGCTCCTGTCGTATTTTGCTAACTGTTTAAGTCAAGTTCTGGCCTTCAAGCATTGCATTGTATTTTGGTGAGAGAGATCAAAACTCAGGGCAGTGGCTTAGCACGAGGAGTTGCATCTATATGCTGATATCAGCCTGCTCAGTTTTTAAAGTGTACATGCAGATGATTCCATCCTGACTTTCTCATGCCAGGTGCCTAACAGGAGGCATTGAAATTGCTTGTCTGGTCATGTAGAACATGGAAATGGTGTTAATTCTGTGTGTGTGCTCTGACAAGGTCTAATACTTTGAGGAAGATGGGGTGCTCTGGGAACTTAACCCTGAACTGGGATACAGGAATAAAACCATTTTGTGAAGACACTGACTACAGGCAAACTGGGCCTGTGCACACCATAACAGACTGAGCCCTTTGCATGTCTGTTTGGGGTGTAGAAATGGAAGAACAAGGCTGTGCTTTATTGTCCTGCCAAATGGCTGCACTCAGGAGAATATTGACTCCTTTTGTTTTTCATTTCACTGCCAGTTTCTCAGACAAAGGAAGATCCCAGAAGACACCAACTTCTTCCCCATCTTCCAGTTCCCAAAAGATGCTGCAGTTTGATTCTGCAGGCAATTCAGCAGAAAGAGTCAAGTCACCTGCTGGCTTTTCTGGAGGTACAGCCTCAGGGCTGAAGCCTAATGTAGCCTACCCTGACTTGAGCCTGGGAACTAGCAGGTCTGTAGCAGGAGCAGCCTCGGCGAGTGGTGAGTATTTTGTTAAAACCGTACTAATCCCAGAGCAGTTCTTGGTTTCAGTTTTGGATGTGGGACACTAAAGCCTGTGGAGGTTGACTAGTGAGTCTTGTCCTGCAGGATGTATGCGCTTCTCCCCCGCTGGTCTTCAGCACCGATTGTCCGCAGAGCTGAACTACCTTAGTGCTATCGAGGAGTCTGTGCGGCAGCTCTCGGATTTGGAACGGGTTCGAGGCATATCCCTCGCCCAGCAGGAGAGTGTTTCCCTGGCTCAGATTCTAAAGGTAACGGGGAAAATACTGCCTTGTCTTAACATTCCTTGGGGTGTTTTGTTTTGCAGGAGAATCAGTCAGATTAGGGCAAGTGACGCTTTCGCTAGCAGTGCAGAGAAAGTGTAATGGGCATGATGGAGCATTTCGGAAAAAGTCCACTTTGTAGGAGTGATATCTGTTAGGTTTCTTAAGTTGGCACCAAGGAACTGGTGACTCTGCAGTATGTGTTGTTAGCTGGAGTCACTGCTATGGTTGTGTTCTTCAGTCAAATAGAAACATGATTGTTCACTGAGTCTGATGTTGGGTCCCAGTGCTAGGCAGTGCAGTTGTTCAGGCTGGATCATTTGTTTTATTCCATTAAAAGGATCTTTTTGGTTGAAGTTTGACAAGATTGCTTGTTCCAGTAAGTTGATTTAATTGGTCACCTGAACTCCTTTCGGCACTGTGGTGGAAGAGTATGGGGAATGTGCATTGTCTACTGCCTGCTTTGAAAGGAAGGTCAGTTGGTAGGTTGACAAGTTTATTTCAGCAGAAGAGACACCACCAGTAGAGCAGATCCAGATCTTTCAGAGGTAGTTGCAGCCAGTGGCTAAGGCCAAACAGATCTTTGTATTTAACTTGCATGATTAAAACTTGTTTTCCTAATCTATAGGCACAACAGCAGCGCCATGAGCGGGACTTGGCTCTTTTGAAAATCAAGGCTGAACAAGAAGCTTTAGAAAGTCAGAGACAACTGGATGAGACCAGGCAGAAGGCAGCTCAGGTAATGCTGCCCTTCAAAAAATGTGGAGTGTGTAAGAGGCAAAATACTGTAAGTAAATCCATGGCTAGGAGTATTCTTAATTTAAATCTGTGAACATATGGAAGTTCTAAAAGAGTTTAATATGGCTAAAAAAAACCCTCTTAGGGACCAATTTCAAACTTTCTTCTCCAGATTTTGAGAAATAAAACTGTAGTTACTATAGGCAGAATATTTTGAAGAGCTGAACTGGCTGTGTTTATTGCATAGGTCCATGCAGAGTCCCTGCAGCAGCTGGTTCAGGCACGGCAGGAGGCTGGGCCAGAGACCCCAAGCAAGGCTGCAGCCAAGCAGGCAGAAACTGCACTGCTTGCTGCAGATGCAGCTCACCAGCTCCGTGAGGTGAGTCCTCAGTGAAGGGGAAAAGCTGTTCTAATTTCAGTATTATTATTGTGAATAATTTTTTGCCTTGTAAGTTGTTTGCTGTTTGGTGTCATTCCTCATGCAACTGCTTTACTTTCATAACGTGACAAATGATGGGACTTCAGAGGAGCTTCTCTAGCATTGTTACTTAGAAGTCAGTCAGCAGCCTTAAATCTCTGTTCCCTCTTCTTGTGATCTTCCAGTTAATGAACTGTTAAGAATTTTGTTCTTCCAGGATAGACTGATGATAGTGAACATGGCATCTTTAATTTGGAAGAGTTGCACTCCGTCAGGGATTGATCCTGTGTCTGTTTCATATGCAAATCAAGTTAGAAAAGCAGAAAAATGGCAGTTTTGCTTACTTTTGAAGGTAGGAGTACAACAAATGAAAAAAAAAAAAAGGAGGAGGGAAGATCTTTAGCAAAGCTCTTGACCTGGGCAGTGGTGCTGGGCCAGCAGAGTAGCTTCTCAGTCCCTGCTCACAAGTGTCTCCTGACATTCAGCTGTGGAGACAAGTATTTTAACTGGAATGCTGCAATAGAAATGCCTGTCACCACTGTGCTGGGAATATTTTTGGATGTACACTGTAATTTATTATGTATAAAGGAACAGAGTGTGGAGGAACATATGTTCACAGAGCAATAGTCACCTCTACACCCAGAAGTGACAGGTATAATTACAAACCATTGCACGCCTGTGTCTTACACAGGGGCTGTAAATCAGTAAATTACCTGCCAGGATGACTGTTTTCTCTTCCAAAAACGTTTTGATGCTGATAAACTCATTGTATTCCTTTGTCTTCTGTTGTACTCAGATGACAGAGCTAATACGGAGCCCAATCTCAGACGGTGTCAGTGCTCCAGCTGCTCCTGTCACCACCTTGTTTGACCACCAGCGGCAGCATCATTCCGAGTTCATGAGGCAGCTGAGAGCCCGAGCTGATACCAACAGGTTCTGCCTCATGTTTCACATCTTGGGAAGGGGGAAATAACATCGAATCATAGAATCAACTGGGTTGGAAAAGACCTCAAAGATCGAGTCCAACCCTACTGTGGTTACTAGACCATGGCCCTAAGTGCCGCGTCCAGTCTCATCTTGAAAACCTCCAGGGATGGTGAATCCACCACCTCCCTGGGCAGGCCATTCCAGTGCTTGATCACTCTTTACATAAAAAAAAGATTTGTTGCACTTTTATTTGCCTATTCTCAAAGAAAATTTTAAGGTGTCATGTTGAGCATTTAAGAAGAACCTGGATTCCATCTGTATGCCCTTAGTAGCATATGCCAAAGGTGATGTTAACTGTTTCCCTGAAGGTCTATATAAAAGAGTACTAAAAGATTGTCTAAGTGTTTGTGGGATGATTTTGCTAGTTTAAGTGACCTTTTAGCAGAAATTTTAGCTGTTACCACTTCCAGTAAAATGATGAAAGCTTGTGAAACCTGTATTACGCTTTGGTTTGAGGCAATGCAGATTTATACCAAATGCTTCTTGTTCTCAGGAAATGTGACTCTGGTGCCACATCACAAGGTAAAGAGGAGACAGGTGATTCAAAACAGGCATACTCACCAATGTTTGATAGCTACTTAGAGAGCTCAAGATCAAAGGTTCATGAGCAGAGGTAAGAAGCTTTTTGTTTCCTGTTCACTTACTTGATCAGTTAGACCCCATGAAGTTTCTCACAGTCTTCTTGACCAATTGGGGCAGTTTTGTCCTCTGTAGTCCTTCTGAGTTTTAAAATAGTATCTCTATCTTGCTCATCCTAATAAAAACTGTAAGGAGAGGGGCCTGCAATCATTTGTCATCAGTACTCATTGCCAGGTGGAGGTTGTACCTACCTTCTAACCACTTGGATTCAAAGGCAGGGGAAAAAATAACAAGTTCCACTGTCAATCAGCAGCTTGATGTGGAGTTTTAAAGTTGAGTTTTGAAAACAAAACCAAACCCGTTGCATGTTGATTATTGCTGGAATTTTAATCACGGTATTCGCAGTAGAAATGTAATACAAATATTTTGAAGTGTGCAAAGAAATTTTCAAACTAATTCTCTGTTGCTGACACAGCAGCACCAGCAGTCGCCAGGAGAGCCCTTCAGTTCCAGCTTCTAAGGAGAATGAGAAGAAGCTTTCCCGGCGTGAGAAGATCAGCAGCAGCATTGAAGAACAGGCTCACACTGCTGCAGATGATTCCTTGCCCAGTGACAGTGTGTTGTCCCTGCCGGATGAGAAAGGTTGGCTGTACTGTGTGCCTGGGGAGGGAGGAGGGAGGTGCTGCTTCAGAATGAATTTCTGAAATAAATGGGGGAAAGTGTGTGAAGGAAGCTGAGCCCCAGGTGAATTGTAGTCTCTTAAGAGGTAACAGGTTGGCACAATGAGACAGGAACCTTTGAGGTTCTGCACGAGAGTGATTCTACCTGCTGTGCTAGCTGTAGCCAGATGTTCACTTGCTGAACCTGCAGGCTGAACCCCAAATGTTTCAGCAGCTCCAGGAGTGTTTATACCTGTGTACAGAAGTCTGTTAGGTCTTTTGCAGCTGGATAACAGTATTTCATGGTGTCCTGTAACCCAAGACCCCTCTTTCCTATGTAAGCACCCATTTTTCTGTACTAGAGTAGTTATCTCCCTGACGTTCCTCCCCCTCTCACTTTACTGAGATGAGGTAGACTAAAACTGCATTCATGGTATGTACCTGAGCATAAAACCCCTTCCCTGATTTCTCTCTCAGATTCTGCTTCTGTTGCAACAGAATATTCATTGAAATTTGATGAGTCCATGACAGAGGATGAGATTGAAGAGAAGTCCTTCAGGTCTTTGCTGCCCTCTGAGAGTCACCGCAGAAATAACCTGGAGAAGAAACGTGGTAATCGAGATGACTCTGATGAGGAGGTGTCCCCAGAAAAATCAGCTCTCTCATCTATCAAGGTAGGTCAGGCAACCAGAGTTAAGTTAACTGCACTGACATGGTTCAACTGATGAGCTTCAAGTGAGCCATTCTTAGTTGTGTTCATAAGCTTTAGGGTTCTTTACCTCCCTGTGGTTCATTGAGCATCTCAAAAGAGAGAGATGTATGTATCATGCTGCATGTCACTGTTGTACAGTGTGATGACTTAGGGAACAGTCCATCCAGGCCTCTACCTTGTGCATTTGGAGAAGAGGAGTGACTTTTTGAGGTAGGTTATGAAAGCCCAGTAGATTAAGTCTTTATACTATGCCCACACACAGTTAGGAAATATGAGGGGATGCCTCATCTCTCTGGCCAAAGTGGGGACATCCCAAAACTGTCACACAGCCCAGGGCAGACAAAGCTGGTCTGCACAAAGCTAAGACAAAATACAGTTTCCTTCCTAGACCCGTTTTTGTGTGTGTGTGTGTGTGTGTGTGTCTGTGTACACACACACACACACACTTTGTAATTGGAAAAAGCCTTGGCCTTTCTGTGTTAATCAAACCATGCCAAATTTGCCTTGTCTTCTAGGAGCTAAGCATGCCATTCTCAGGGGGGCAAGATAGTTTCTCTAAATTTACCATGGAGATGGTGAGGCAGTACATGAAGGAGGAGGAAATGCGAGCAGCTCACCAGTCCTCACTGCTTCGGCTCCGCGAGAAGGCGCTGAAAGAGAAGACCAAGGCTGAACTAGCTTGGCTGGAGCACCAGAAGAAGTAAGGCAGCTCTGAACACATGTTATTGCTGACTGACCCTTTTGTTGTACTTCTTAAGGTTTTGTTTCCACCTCACCCCACTATTGTTAAGTATCAATGGTTGAGCTGCTCTGATGTCAGTAATCTGTACAAGTGTTACTGGCACTTGGAGAGAACAGCCCAGTTTGTAAATGTGCCTTGATGTTTGCATTGAATGTGGCTTGTATAAAAGAGAGTTTCACTGAAACAGTGGAATATCAGATGTTTGTTGTCAGGCAAGGAAGGTAATTGCCAACCATTACAAGCTTTAATTCAGGATAGTATAGAACTGCAAAACAGTTTGACCTTTATTTTCTTGATGTTTGTCTGAGGTCATTTTAGTTGACTCAGACAATATTTTGTGAATCTGGATATGTGTTATACTTAATGATTTGCTTCCAACCTAACATATGCTTTGTCCTGGAGTGCCACTTGAGGGACCCAGTGATGCTTCTAATCAGATTAAATCAGGCCATCAACACAACCAACACAAACAAATGCAGATTAAATCTCTGCATGAGAGGACCATTGTTCATCAGATATTTTCTTGCACTTTCTTGTCATTGTGGGTTCGACAAAGGATTGTGAGGCAGTGACCCAAGTGTCCTTCCTGTTGTCTGTCTCAAATGGTGACTGTGCTACCTCTGCAGAGCTTCTACCCATTCATGTGACATCTCCTGTACCTGCAGTGGCCTTTTAACTGTGCCTGTCTGACTGAACAGCATGAAATATTCCACTGTAGAGCATGCCAAGGATTAAGGGTATATAGCTTTCTGCAGGTTAGGGAAAGTAAACTTTTCACTTTAAAGAATAAAAGGCCTATTGTACCCTTTTTTCTTACTACTTTATAGTTTTTTGTTATTTTAAAATAATCTTATTACTCTATTTACATTTATATTCTTTCTTCCAATCTGCTTTCAGGCATTTGAGAGACAAGGGAGAGGATGACAAGATGCCTCCTATTCGAAAGAGGCAGCGTGGTCTGCTGCTGAGATTACAGCAGGAAAAGGTAACTGATGCCCCCTAGGAACATCCTCTTGAAACCCCTGTGTACCCATTAAATGTTTCTTTCATTCAGATAAGAATTGAGAACACACCGTAGCAGCTTTGGCTAGGAAACTAGCAGTATTCTTACCACTAAGTTGTATTTGCGTTTCAGTAGCATTCAACATGGAATGATAGGACAAGGAGCAATGGGAATAAATTGAAAGAGGAGAAATTTAGGTTAGATATTAGGAAGAAGTGTTTTTCCGGTGAGGGTGGTGAGACACTGTCCCAGGTTGCCCAGAGAGGCTGTGGCTGCCTCAACCCTGGCAGTGTTCACAGCCAGGTTGGATGAGCCTTGAGCAACCTGCTCTGGTGGGACGTGTCCCTGCCCAGGGCAGGGGTTGGGGCTGGATGATCTCTTAAGGTCCATTCCAACCCCTTAACATACTGTGAAACTATGTTGCTCTACAGGATCCTTCTGTGTCTGTAATCTCACTGGTTAAGACTTTGAATTATTAATTGATCTCTGTTCTTTGCTGCTGAAGTTCAGGCTAATCACTTCATCATGTAATTGCAGTCATCTTAAACCCACAGCAAGGCCACTGTGGTAGGTTTATGTGTGTTCCTGAGTGGGGTCTGTCCCAGTGCTTATGCTGCATCTTTTCTATCGAAAAGGCAGAAATTAAGCGTCTCCAAGAGGCTAACAAGGCTGCCAGGAAGGAGAGGCAGCTGATCCTCAAGCAGCAGGCAGAAATAGAACGGATCCGTCAGACTACCATGAAACTGCAGGAAAAACTCAAGTCTGCAGGAGAAAACAAGATGGTGAGTGCTCAGCACACAAGCTGCAGTCTTCCCTCCTTGGCCAAGCAGCATCAGTGTTTATAGGAATGGAAAGCTACTGGATTGGACCCATCACTTGGAAGTTGTGTCTCCCTCAGATGGTTTCACCCTCTCTATCCCAGCAATTTTGTGTTTAATTCCTTTAGAGCATTGTTTAAGGAAATGCCTTTGGAGAAGTTACAAAATGTTTTAACTGGGCAGCAGATGATACTTGTTCATTTTCAAGCTGAGCTAATGACCTTGGGAATATCAGGTTTTTGATGCTGAGATCTCTCAGGCTTTGATTTTATTTATTTGTCAGACATCAAAGTACTAAATGTAAGCACTAACCCTAATCTTGCTGCTGTGTGTGTGTCATTACACCAAGTTTCTCACATCTGCTTTACAAGGTAGCAAGGTGGGATTTTGGTGACTGGCTACCTCCTGGCAAGATTTTGAGGAGATACGAGTTTAATAGTAGTAGTAGTGGGGAAAGGATTGGCTTCCTGTTTGGGTAACTGAATTCTGGTGAGATTTTTTTTTTGGTTTTGTTCTGGATATACTTAGGGGAGAAGTTAAATTATGGAGAGAAAGGGTGTACCAAAAAGCTTTGTGTCAAATAAAAATGAAGTTGGAAAGTGAAGTTAAACCTGCAGGTGGACAGACTTCTTTGGAGTAGTAGTTGATGTAATCTGAAGAGAAATGAGATAAACCAGTTTTGACCAGATTTTGAAATACTTTTAACGTTGGGTTTGTTTGATTTTTACACTTAACTGCAGGAGCTTCACAGTGAGGATGACATCAAGCAGAGCAATGGTTCTAGCCCACTTCCCACAGATGCAGAGACACGCAGTCCTTCCCCAATCTCCATCTCCAGCAGTGAGACCAGCAGCATTATGCAGAAACTGAAAAAAATGCGCAGCAGAATGGATGAAAAGTAACTACAGTTTTCTTTCTTCTACAAAATGTTGCTGTTTTATTAGAATGAGTTGTTTTGGCTCACATCTGCACTAAAAATGGAACTTAATAGTGTTGATATCGTATAGACTGTGATCTGCATTGCCTGAAAAATAGGTGATTAGAAGCATGAATAAAGCTGTATTAATCTTTGAATATAATCATTTAGAGGCTGCAGTTCTTGCATGAATTATTGAGATTCAAACATCATTAGCTGGTCAAGGTAGTGTTGCAGAAGATTGGGTTTAATATTCCTTGTACTTGATAAAGTTGGTAAAAGAGCATCAGTTTGAAATGTTGGTGTTTGTAGGCACAAGGAATGTGGACAGGCTCCAGCTGCATGGTACCTCCCATCAGAGTTTCTATTGCAATGAGAGACCTGAAGTTAAATGGTCAGAATGGTGCTTGAATTTTGTATCTCCCCTTTTATCTTAAAGGGGAAAACATACAGGAAGTGAAACTCAGGAATTGCAGCACCAATTTTTATCGTGCTATTGTAACTTAGATGTCAATTCGATTGTCTTAGGCAACAGCTCGTAACTGAGTCTGAGATCTGACTCACAGAAAGACACTGATCTTGTCAGGCAGGTGATTTCTATCTTATTTTCCAGCTGCTGATATTAATCCTGATTGTATTCAAATCAGCTAGGGATGAATTCTGTAAGCACGTCCTTCATTAGTGGAGGTGGTAAGACCTTTCTTGTCCTCCTGTGTGGTTCACAGGTTGGAAAAATGTTGGAAATGGTTGTTAGACTTCAGAGGAAGCAGTGAAACTACGTGCAGTCCCTGGGGCTGAAAACCAAGAATGAATTTCTTGATCTCACCTCTTAAATTGTTTTTGAATAAAAAATGGTTTCTGCATCTTTTCAGTGCAGGAGTTCCTTTGCCTGCACTAAACACCCCAAATGCTTTACCAGCCTGTTCTCATTAGTTTGAAGCCTTAAATCCTTATTTGAGACTAATCCATTACAAGTTTGGCCTCTGCCAGTTGCCAGAGGAAATAGTCTTGACTTAGTTGATTTTGTTGGACCTATCTGGTAAACTGAACAGCCAAAATCACAAATGATTTCAGGTTTCTGAAGTGTCATATTTCCAAAACTAAACTCCTGGCATTCCAAGGCATATGAAAACCACCCCAGTGTTGCAGCAGCAAATCACAAAGTGTCTTTTGAGGCTGGTAAATGGCTGAAAATGAGGACTGGAAAAGCATGTGCTGCAAGCCATGCTGACTCCTGGAGTTTCCAGAAAACAAGGTTTTCCTTCTGATCCTATTTTTTCATTAAGAGAGTGTCTTTGTCTTATTTTTTTCCACTTGAGGTTGGACAAATTTCAAATGGTGATTAAAAAAACAAGCTACAACCTAGGATTTTTGAGATACAGTGTTAATACTAAAAGAGATGACAAATATACTTGTATATTCCAGACTTCCTTTGTCACTTTTTATCAGGTAGTGGTTTTGTCAATGTTTTGTTTGAAATCTTATTTTTGCCAAGTACCTTCATTTCTAAGCAGCATTTACAATTGCAGAAAGAATTACATATGAATAATTGTTGCTATTACAAGGGATAATAGCAGATATAAGTTTTGTTCTGCCCTTAAAGATGTTTTAATCATCAGTTGATCATTATTTCATGCAGTTGAAAATACTTCTCACCTGGAGAATATTCTCAAAAGCTGGACAGCAGGATTTGAACTGGAGCTATGGCTTTTAGGCAGAAAAGTGGAAATTGTGTGTGATGTGATGTATGTGGTCATGTATTTTTGTTTTTATGGTTTTGTCTTGGGTTGTTGTATCTGTTCAAAGGAAGTAATATTTTGTGTAAGCACAAGTGATTCTCTAGAGCTTGAGCTGAAGCTTTTGCACACCTTTGGCAGGATAGTGGTAGCAGTGATTATTGATTGAAAAACAGTGCCAGCTAGGTATTTTTGAATGTTCTTGTTTGTAAAACACATAATATTAATAGTGAGACATTTGGTTTGGGGTGTCATGACAAAGCTGCCATTTGAGGGGAATCAGTAGGGTGTAAAGTAGGGCAAAAGGAAAGAAGCTGAATGATAAACACCCAGGAACTGGAGGAAGGAGCTGGGAAAGCCTGCTATGCTGGATCTGCTGTACTCCACAGCAAGGTGGAAACCCTTTGGCTTCCTTGCTTAGGAAGCAGCTTTAATATTTGTCTTCTGCTAAAAGGGGAATGAAAAAGAGTTCTGTTTTAATTTGGATGGAAGAGGCTGTGTAGCCTGCATGTGAACAGGAGCATGCTCTGTCAAAGAGAATTAACCACCTCCCCTGGCTTTCCTTGCATATGCAGCTTTGATGAGAGTCTGTGCAGTGACTGATTAAGTGCTCATTTTCTTTTGCTTTTCCTTAATATGCTTCTTGGCTTGCTTTGTAGTTGGTAGGGCTAAATGGAGCCTGGTGTTTTCTATAAATTCCATAACTCATTAGGAATTGGCCTAAAATGGTAATCCTTTCAGAAATACCATTTTAAGCACAGCTGTAAGTTTGTGTGTTTTTAAAAAACAATAGGCCTTATCTTTCTGCAGTTAGTCCTTCGAATGGAACAGGCAAATGTGTTCAAAGTTTCAGACCAGCAGAGTTGTTGATATTGCAAAACCAGTATGATACTTGCTGCTAATAATGCACTCTATCCACAGAATAGCAGGAGAAAGAGTGGGTTAAGATATGTTAACCAGTGCATATGGAAATCTGCATCAAAGTGATCAAACTCCTTCCAAAACTGAGAGAACTGCAGCAGTGTGGAAGCAGCTTGCCTTGCATTAACAGAAAATGAATTGTTATAAGTGTGTGATCTATAACCTTCTGCATAACAGTGTATAGTTTTTCTACTGCAGATGTTGGGTAATAACTATACAATGTTAAATGCAATGAAGTTTAAAATTCTTTGCTAGATGCTATCCTTTTCTCATTCTTTCTGCCTTTATTGCTATCTTAGTTTTAAACTCTTCCTCCTTATTTTGTAGACACTGCTCTCCTGTTCACTACTTCTTCTCTGTCTTTACGTCTCACCACTGGGCCTCTCTCAGTGTCTGTTTTCCCAACCTCCACCCCAAATTCCAGCTGTATATCTACAACCAATTGGTCAGGTAACTGTATATTTCTCAAGTGATAGACTCTTTGATAGAGCATGCTCTGTTCAGTCCTAGAAAGTTTAGAGGTTCTTCAGTGTCTTCACTTGCCTCAGTGTTTCCAGGTCTTTACCAATGATACAGATAGAGAGAATCAGTCCACCCTCAGCACCAAGCTGAGTGGTGCAGCTAATTCCCTGGAGGGAAGGGATGCCATCCAGAGGGACCTGGACAGGCTTGAGGAGTGAGCCAGTCAGTGTGACCCTCAGGAAGGTCAGCAAAGCTCTGCACCTGGGTCAGGGCAATCCCCACTATCAGTACAGGCTGATGAAGGCTGATACAGGATGAAGGGATTGAGAGTAGTTCTTCAGAGAAGGACTTGAGGATGCTGGTGGACCAAAAAAATTGGATATGACCCAGCAATGTGCACTTGCAGCCCAGAAAACCAACTATGCTGACCTGCATGAAAAAACGTGGCCAGCAGGTTGAGGGAGGTGTTTCTCCTGCTCTGCTCCACTCTGGTGAGACCCCATCTGAAGTCCTCTGTCCAGCTCTGAGGTCCCCAGTATGAGAAAGACATGGACTTGTTGGAGCAGGTCCAGAGGAGGCCACAAAAAAATCAGAGATGGGAACACTTTTCCTATGTAGAAAGGCTGAGAAAGCTGGGGTGGTTTAGTCTGGAGAAGGGAAAACTTTGGCCTGACCTTACTTGGCCTTTTCAATATATAAAGGTGCTTATAACACAAATGGAGAGAGACTTTTTACCAGGGCCTGTAGTGATAGAGCAGGGGTAATAGTTTAGTCTGAGAGAGGGTAGATCTAGGTTAAATGTGAGGAAGAAATTCTTCCCTGTGAGGGTTTTGAGGAGTGGCAGAGGTTGCTCAGAGAAGCTGTGGCTGCCCCATCCCTGCGAGTGTTCAAGGTCAGGCTAGAACAACCTGTTCTAGTAAAAGGAGTCCCAACTCATGGTAGAGGGATGGAACTAGATAATCTCTAAGGTCCCTCCCAACCCAAACCATTCTGTGATTGCAATATCTTACTGTGTTCTGAGTAGCAGTCCAACAGTTCATTTTGCTCCCTGGTTGCTACTTCAGAATAGCTGCTGAAACCACATAGTTTGGACTTAACGTTGAATATACCTTGGATAAAAATGTACAAGTACAGGTTAGAGCAGCAGGTTCATGTTTCCAGGTTAGTACTTGAAATGCTTGAATGAAATGTGTGATATTAGTAGCAGAGAAATAGCTAACTTTGTCATCATGCTGGTGTAATCTGAGTGCTGCTGCTTCCTCTTTGCTCCCCCCCCATTTCCAGCTGCAGAGATGCCAGATGTGCTTTTCATTTTTTTTTCTGCTTTTGAGGATGAATGTGTACCCTTGGTGTTGGAACTGGAACCCTCTAGACTGGAGTGAATATTAAGGCAGTGTGTGTGCTACCTCGTGGCTCTGTCCTTTTAAGCCTCAGGGTTAGAAAAGGGTTTGCATCTTTGGCCATGCTGCTTTGATCCTCGGTGTAGATTGAGTGTTAGAATCCTCTTTGTCTCCCATTACTTCTGTTGTCTTCCTTATTAACTAGTTCTTGTGTGGTAATTATTTTTGCGGTCATTTCATTATTTCTCCTCCTGTTTGTGGTCATCTGGGTTAATTCGTTTGACATCTGCTTTTAAGGAGTCCTGCTCCTTTGAATCCATTTTTTTCAGCCTTTCTCTTGCATTTTATTCCAACTGGACTTTGCCTCCCTTAAGATCCAGTAAACTGCAAAGATCCAGATTTTCTGATGGAATCAAACAGTGGGTAAAGGAAGAAGAAATTGCCTTTTGCATTGAGATCATTGTATAAAGACCTCCACAACAAGTTCCAAGTACATATCTAGAGTAACTGGAACTGATTTGTGCCTGAGAGTAAGAGTGGCTAAATCTGATAGTGCTGGTGAAAGACACAACATAATCACCACTGTCCCTGTCATGTTTGTAATGCAATTACTGTCTGTAGTCTACTTTGTTAATGGCACCAACCTGTCAGTTTTGCCTGAGAGCAGACAATGTTTGATGTTTGTCTATAGAAAGTGATGAAGTAGTGCACAAAATCATGGAATCTGTAAACTTGTAAGTGGCAGATTCCAGAGACTCTGGGGTGCTTCTGTTTTTCACCTGCTCTTGTTCTGATCATCAGAAAGAAGATTCTGATCATGTCTTACTGACTTGTGAAACTTCTCTTTGTGTCACTTGTCCACCTTGTCTGAGTCTGTCTTAGAGAAGGACTTAGATAAGTCCTAACCTTTCTGATCAACTGCCAGCTCACTTTTCCAGGGACAGAACAAGTGCTGAGTGAGCAAACAAGAAGTGGCCCTTAGCAGACAAGACCTGCAGATCAGCCAGTTGGCCATTTCAGTCTCTGTGAATAAAAGGGTTTTTTGAAACTCAAGAGATTAAAAAGCACAAATGAGATTATTATCTGCTTTGCATCTTAAAAGCTTTGATGCTAAGTGTTTGGGATGGCTTGAAAATTACAAATTATGAAGGCATTTGCAGAAACAAAGCATCCCAAGTGTGTGCAGACTGCCTTTAGCAGCACCACACCTTCTGTACCAGTGACAAACTCTCTGGCTGGCAAACTGTGTATGTTCTACAGAGTGATTCTGTGGCATTTTAAACTCTCAGTGCAGGAGATTAATGGATTGATAGACACTCCTCTCTGGACTTGGTGTGCCAGAGAAAGTGTGTGCAGTTGGTGTTGAACTTGTTTCCACTTACTGTCTGAAAGGTTAAGTGCTGTGGTCTTGGTTACTTCACTGTTCAGAAATAAGACAAGGGCTGGCAAACTAAACCAGTGTGTGCACAAAAACTTCATACCCACAAAATTCTGTGAGCATTTCTTCATTTCTGAGGTTTCATGGATCACCTAAGAACTCTCTTGTCAGAAAAAAAAATACCTAATTTTCAGCATGAGCTTTCCTTTTTATCACTTAAACTAGCAGCCAGATGTGTTAGTAGCTGGGAAGAAACAGCCCAGCATCCTTATTCTCCTGAAGCTGTCGGCTCACAATTAGCATTCCAAGTGTGGCAGGCCATCGAGATGATGCTTAAAGGAAGAAGGATCAAAGCTCCAGTAATTTGGGAGAGCTATTAATACAGAATCACCTTCTCTTGTAATTATATTGGAAAGAATGGTGGGGCAGCTGAGGCGACAATTTTTCTGTCACTGGCGTTAGCAAAAAGGTTCATTTTTTAGTCACTGCTTTCTAGAGGGTTCCAGTTTAATGCCACAGGTTCTCTTCTTATCCTGAAATGGGGAACTTTTCCTGGTCACTTTAGTGAGTAGTTTGCAGCACTTTTAATGATTTTGAAGGTTTTAAAAATGTAAATAGCATGTTTACAGTGTGTTGTAGACTTTGCAGAGAGAAAAGCTCTAGTCTACTTGTGGGTATTTTTTCAGCAGCACATCAGAAGTCTAGGAGATAATGTGGATATTATTCTAGGAAACAAACTGAACCACTATAATTCTAGGAATGGTGGCAGTAGAGCTTCTGGGGATGGGGGATCTCTGAGTGTGGTTGGCTGTTTTCCCATTGTCTTCTGCTCTGTCTGTCAGGTTCCTAACCAAGCGGGAACAGAAGCTGATGCAGCGCCGACAACATGCTGAAGAGCTGCTGGAGTGGAAACGCCGCCTGGATGCAGAGGAAGCAGAAATACGGCGCATAGAAAAGCAGGCTCTGGCTGCCTGGGACAAAGAGCTGCTCAAGTCCAAAACAGCCAAGAAAGAGCTGGGAGATCAGAGAAGTGAGCCCAAAGGTAATGGGAAGTGGGGGAAAGCGATGCAAACGGCAAGAGGGGAGCAAAATTTGACACAGCGATTGATTAGGGTTGCACTTTTGTCCTTTTTTGATGTTTTGGTGGTGGTTGTTCTCTGGACACTCTTAGGGTCTCAGTTTCTGCACTCTTTGCTGCCTTCTGTTGCCTTGTTCTTTTGAGCCTATTTTACAATGTAGTTAAATGTGTATTTGTCCTTTGCTGTGTATCCTCTCAAGTGAACAGTGCAGCATAATCTCCCCAATCATTTCTAGACACAATTTAAACTATGTATGTCTTTCAAAGCAGAAATACTGCAATATGTTGTTCTGCTGAGAGTCTTTCCCCAGAAAGTGAGTAGTTTGCTCACTTTCCCCAGTGAGCAAAGTGTGTCCGCTTGTTAGCCTTAGTGCTGTTGGTGAGGATTGCTCCTGTCAGGGGCTGCTTCGCCCTTGCCTGTGTGTTCAACAAATTGAAAGCATTTTTTTCTTCCCTCTCTCATTAATGCTACGTAACAGTTTGAACTGTGCAGCTGTGCTGAAGTGTGCTGGGATGTAATTAGCATAAATGATGCTATGGTGAGGAAAAATTAAATTCCCAGATGTTTGGAGCTACAGCTTTACTGTTCTGTCTGAAGTGGGCCATACTTGGAGCATGAAGCACAGAGAACTGGATTGCAGTGGGAGAAGATAATGGAACTTCAAGGGTTGTTCGAAAAACAATCGATTTTCCTTTTTTCTCCACTTTGCTGAAAGCAGGCAGGACTTCCTTAGAATGCGCAAAGGGAATTCAGAATTAGGCCCTATTACACTTGTCACCAAAGTCATGTGGATTTTAGGCATTGTGAGGCATTTTAAAGATGATATTGGTATGAGTCAGTAAGTTCCAGTGAACAAAAATTCAGCATGAATGCTGAATTCTCATCAATAGGTGAGAAAATACACTTGCTTCCTATTAGCTGTATCTCCCAGTCAGCACTGAGGCACAGCCCTGCTTCAGAAGAAGTTCTTCTCCCCAGCCTTTGCCCAAATATTGAACAGTTTTCCATGGCTACCTCAGCAGTGCTGTGACTCCTGCGGAATTTAGTAAACAGGAATATTGAACACCCAACTTATTATTTTGCTTGTTGCCATTTGAGAGACTCATGATGAAATCATGACATTAAAATGTTTTCTGTAACTACTGTAAAGGAAGCAATCAATTCTAAATTCAAGATCTGGCTTGCAGATTATATGCTCCTCCATGACTTCTTCAGACTAATGGTGACTCTTGCTGGTCTATGGTCAACTGGAAGGACAGGTTTCCCTAATAATCTTTCTTTGAGTGTGTTGTCTGGAAAATGTTAGAATGTCCTGAAAACCTCTTGATTTTAGATGGTCAGCAATCACGTGTTTGGCAGTTTTCACAGAATCATTTAGGTTGGAAAAGACCTCTGAGATCATTGAGTCCAACCTTTGACTGATCACCATCATGTCAACTAGACCATGGCACTAAGTCATATAATCATAGACTTTTAGGGGTTGGAATGGACCTTAAGAGATCATCCAGTCCCAACCCTCTGCCCTGGGCAGGGACACCTCCCACCAGAGCAGGTTGCTCAAGGCTTTATCCAACCTGGCTGTGAACACTGCCAGGGCTGGGGCAGCCACAGCCTCCCTGGGCAACCTGGGACAGTGTCTCACCACCCTTACAGGGAAAAACTTGTTCTTAATATCTAGCCTAAATTTCCCCTCCTTCAACTTGTACCCATGCCACTTCCAGTTGTTTCTTGAACACAAAATCATAGTTCTCTGGTAAGCATCTTGTTCTTGCTGAATATTCCAACATCAGTGTCTGGGTGAGTGAAATAATGCCTGTTTGGCGTGTACTGGTAGCAGTTGCTACTGTATATGCAGGCAGCATATAAAGTATGCCTTCAGCCTTATGCCTTCAGCCTCTGAAGGCACATAAGATGGTGCAAGTTCTTATGTGCTTTGTTTCTTGTCTCATTAAATCTCAGAAACTGCTAGTGAAGAAGAGTCTCCAGTGCCTTCTTGCTCTCATCGGAACAGTGAAAGCTCTATTCTAGAAGATCTTGGCAGTCTGGCTGCTGAGTCTGTCCCATCAGAGCCCATGGGCCATGGACAACCAGAAAGCCCAGATCAGAGTACAATTCATGAAGAAATGGCTTATTCTGAAGACTTCAAGTCCTCTACCTCACCTGGCAAACTTGTGAGTGAGCCTTTATGCTCTGTGTACTCTTACACTTGTGAGAGGTTATTAGGGAAGTAGTAACTATAACCAACCCATTGCCAAAGCAGAGATTCGACTATTAACCAAGCTATTTTTTGTGTTGGTGATACCATTTCACGTTGCTGTGAGTAATCATTGTGATCAGACATGTGCTTTGAAGTCTGGAGGAAAAATTTGCTTCCGCACAGGGTTTAGATATTTTTAAACTCGCAGGTAGCCTTGCAAAACGCTTTGCGTACGTCAGGCTGGTATGCAGTGTTGAGTGCTGGAACACTGACCCAGTTTAGCAGTGTGAATTTAGCTGTAGGCTACCTTCTTGCCATTGTATAAATTCTTTGAGGCCGTGGAAGCTATGCTCTGTTTTTCTGCTTTGCCTTATTGGCAAGCAATGTATGCCAAAGTATAGCTACAGGATGAAGAACCTCATCCTGAGCTGTAACCTCATGCACAATCCTTTGGGTTTTAGTTTCTGCTTGATACTTATTTATCATAGAATCATACGACGTTAAGGGATTGGAATGGACCTTGGAGATCATCTAGTCCCAACACCCTGCCCTGGGCAGGGACACCTCCCACCAGAGCAGGTTGCTCAAGGCTCATCCAACCTGGCTGTGAACACTGCCAGGGTTGGGGCAGCCACAGCCTCCCTGGGCAACCTGGGACAGTGTCTCACCACCCTCACAGGGAAAAACTTCTTCCTAATATCTAACCTAAATTTCCCCTCTTTCAATTTATCCCCATTACTCCTTGTCCTGTCGCTGCAGTTTCTAACACAGAGTCCCTCTCGAGCTTCCCTATAGGCTACTTCAGATACTGAAAAGTTACTATGAGGTCTCCACACAACCTTCTCTTCTCCAGGTTGAACAGCCCTAACTTCCTCAGCCTATCTATGTGTTCTGCCTTATTGTTCCCTTCCAGCTGTTACTTCTACTTGGTTGATAATTTCGATGAGTTTCATCCTGATAACTTTGCCTTGTGCTCAATAAGACAAAATGGAGTGTCTGTGGGGTAGAAGAACTGCTCATCTAGACTTATTACAGATACTTTCTTGGAAGGTTTGCTGAGGAGATAGTGAAGTAAATTCTGGCACATATTAGACATTTTATGTTCAAGGTGTGTGAAAGGTTTGTGGGATAATGTTGAAGCATTAAGCAGCATTTTGGAAGAACATTTGCTCTTAGAAAAAATTTTTTTCTGTTCCTCAGAGAAATAGTACTCTGTTGTTTCACTGATCTGAGATGTCATCTTGCACCCCCTGCATGAAGTGGTCCTTTTGATTTCGTTTATGTATTTACTAGGAGTTGCTATCGCCCTGGTTGTAACCAAATAAGATGACATAAATGTATTGAACACCTGTGAGTCAGAACTGTGTCAGTTCACTTAGGTGGTAATAGAGTAGTCTGTGCAGGTTTATGGAAATCTGGGCTCAAAGTAAGCAGTGAGCAACTGCTGCTCTTGGTGTTTTTGTTTTGGTGTCTAGCAAAGATTAAATTCTCATTAAGATCATTGTATTAGGTACCACTGTTCTTGAGATGTTCTCCTGTCATGCTGTTCTTTCCTTGTAACTCACTCCTCGTGACAGTGATCTCCTACTTTCAAACTGCAGTTACTTACTTATCCTTTTCTTCTCTCAGTCTCCTCCCAAAAGCAGCATATCTGTCTCAAAGCAAGACTCCAGCAAAGGCAGCCACAGGACAGGAGGACAGCTACGTTCACCTGTGAAGTCTCATCAGGTATCTCACAACTGGTCTGATGAATCTTTGTCCATGACACAGTCAGGTAAGTGTAATATCCACTTGGGTTTAATTTGCTTTTTCAAAGCATTTGCTTTTAACAAGTAAACTTGAATTCAGGCATAGGTGTGGGGAGGCAGACATAAATTCCTGGAAATTGCCAAGGTTTGTGGGAGTATTTTCCCATTATGTAATTTGATTGCTTCAGCTTAAGAAGATGTTAATGTAAGAAGGTCTATACATTATCTCTTCTTTTGGAAAGCAGTGCAGGTTCCTGCACTGGAAGAAGGTAAGAGTCAGCAGTTAAGGTGGTCCTAAGTTTAAAAACACTTCCTTGTGAGCATAGCCTGGCTCTAGAAGCAGCACTGCTCTCTTGTATGGCAGTACAGGTGAGACCCTTGGACCTGCACTGCCATGTGCACTATCAGTGGATACTTCAGGACATAGTTTTTATTTTTGGAGGAGAGTTTGGTCTGTGTGCAGTAAAGTGGGGCCTACGTTTGCATTTTGAGCTATAAAATACAAGATCTGCTCTATGGATTCTTTATACTCTTTTGTCCAGTATCCAAGCTGGCCACTAGTAAGTGCTGAGGGAGAAAACATTAGAAGTGAAGTGGGACAGAGCAGCCCTTTCCCTGCTCTGCTCTCAGTCTGTTAGTCATGTGGATTGCAAGGCTTCCTGAGCCACCACTCAGTGGGTCACCATCATCAGCTCTGTTCACCTGTGAAGGCTGTTTTGACCCTTTCCATGCTTTTAGTCTCTAAAACATACTGTATTCCAGAGCACAGCTGATAGACCATCACAAAGTACTTACTAGCAAGTGAGATGGCATTTTCCTGCTTGTGTTTTTATCCATGAGTCTTTACTGGAAGAAGAATTAGGAGGTTCTGTTGTGTGTACTGGGTGTTGTTTGTGACAGTTGGATAACTTACTGTGAGAAATGAGCACATAACACTGAGTAATTTGTGTTTGGGGCTCTGTCTGGAGAGCAGTTTGCCACACAGGGAAGTTTTCAGCACCTTGATAACGTCGTTTTCAAGCTCTGACTCAGCAGCCATGTGAGAAAGCCGTTTTGACATGTAGAACAGGCAACAGTGGTCACAAAAATAAACTTCTGTAAAATCAAGTATGGACAATCCTTGATTTCAGATGCTGGAGAAAGGTGTAAGAGGTGGGAAGACAATCAGGATAGTTTCCCAATAAATCATTCCATTGTAAAGAGACAGGTGTTCTGAGCTGCTGAGCAGTAATGAAATCATTGCTTTGTCAGGCTGATGCATGTGTAGACAAGATCATCAAGGATGAAAGCATGAGCAGATCTTTCCCTTATGAGTTGATCAAGAAGTGCTGTAATTACATAGTGGTCACTTACTTTTTGGGAGGAGCAGTTAATTACAGTGGCATCACAAAGTGCTCCTGATTAGCAAGGGAGATTCCATTCTTTTTGTTTGGGTTTTTGTTTTTTAATTTCTTTAAATGGTTAACAACAGTTGCTAGTGGAGAGAGATTACAGCAGTTTGATTGTGTTTACTGGCTGCTGTTGGTGATGGAATCCTGCACTGTGGTGGTTTGTTACCTTCAGAAGTGAGATGGATTAGCAGAATGTCCAGTTGTCCCTGCTAGCTGACCAGAACTTACTGGTGACTTTCTAGAATGTTCAGTAAAGTCATTGACATTTATGAGCATTACAGTCCTTTGCTCCGGAAAGCATTGTAGGTGATTTTGAGCATTAGGAAAATAAACCAGACAAGATCCTCCTTTTAGGAGCTCCTGCAACTGCTGTAGAAGAAGGGGCACATCAGCTCAGGGAGGAGCTCCAGTAAGGCTCTATCAGATAAATATTTTGCAGTTCATTGAGAAATATTTAAGTTTTTGATACTTAATTGTGGTAGCGTCAATCTGGGACAAGGATCTTGTTTTGCACTGTGTTGGTGTACATTTAAAACAAGAAACAAGTGGACATAATCAGGTGGGAGGAAAAGAAGTATTGAGAGACTGAGGCAATTCTTTTGTAAAGTCTGAGAGACTAAGAGGAAATAAGAAAATAAGAACAGCAGTTAGAGTGGGAATACAGAAGGCAGCAGAGTTAGTGGTGGAATGGGGTTATCATGCAGAGACTGGGTCTAAGTATGTGGGGACAGTGTCCCAGGGAACATTATCAGAAGGACTGGAAGGTCAGGGTGCAGGGAGTTCTGGGATTGGAGGGGAATGGAGGAGAGCTTACTAAAATTGCTAAGGATAATTAATTAAAAAAATGAAATTGTTCACACGGAAAATAGCTGCAGTCAGTAGTGGCACCATAGGAGGAGCTGTGAAATTGAACGTAGAGCAAAGATATGCCAGGTAGAAGCTAATATTGAATATCTACCACATGTCTGAGCTTAACACCACCTGCACTCACCCTGAGCACATCATCCTGAGGCTGACAACAGTGAGAATCTCTGCATGGTGCAAACTGACTTCCCTTCCAGCTGTTGACCAGTCAGCTCTTCATTGCACAGATGTATTTAGTCTAGGTGACAGAAAATCTGAGTGGGCCAGAAACTTCAACCTGTCTTGGAGTCCATTGTTCCAAGGGAAATTTCTCATCAGTGAAGTGTACTCTGTAGCTTGGAAACTTGATATTGTCATTGCAAACAAATCTTTCAGATCTATTTTTGGTGCACTTCTTTGAGGTGTCGTGTTTTCTAATATGTCAGAAAATTACTGTCTGCAACAGCCAATGTGACATGGGTTAATGATGAAGACCATAAACATGGGTGGTTGATGTGAATAAGTTGGGTAACAAGAGCCTTTCTCCTCTAAGTTAAATAACTTGCAACACTTTTTCTTAAGTGTGTTATATGTTCATATGTATGTAATAGTGTGGAGGATCTGAGATAAGAGCCTAAAGTTTAGCACGTTTTTGCTTGGACCATAGTTTGTATTTATGAAATGACTGTTTATTGCTTTGCACAGAACTCTTTTGTGAGGTGCAAACTTACACAGACTAAAACTAAACTCTTTCAGAAACCACCTCTGATCAAAGTGACATCGAAGGACGTATCAGGGCCCTGAAGGATGAACTACGGAAAAGGAAATCTGTGGTTTACCAGCTGAAAAAGGAGCAGAAGAAGAGACAAAAGGAGAGACTGAAGGCCCAGGAAGCCAGTCTGATCAAACAGCTGGAGGTTAGGAACAGTGGGAAGAAGGGTGAAGTAAAAGATTGCTATCCAAGGGTGATAATGTGAAAGACACAGTATTGTGATAGAAGTGTGGCTGTTACACAGAATCACAGAATGATTGGGTTGGAAGGGACCTGGAAGATCATCTCATTCCAGCCCCTGCCATGGGCAGGGACACCTTCCACTAGACCTGACTGCTCCAAGCCCCATTCAGCCTGACCTTGTTCTGGCTATTTAACTGTTTTCAATAACGAACCAGAACCTTGAGGCAAAAGTGCATTTCCCTTTTGAAATGTCTGTCTTTAATGAGTTTGTAGCAGCATTCAAGGGGCTGCTAGTGTGTTTGTACACATTAGTGTCCTAGCTTGGATTAAAGAGTGATGCTCATACAATTTGTTTTTGAAAGGGAAGTGTTGAAATGTCTAAGATTCACCACTGTAGAGCTTTAGGAAGTTACACAGATTGCTTTACAGAGAAACTGAGTGCATTCTTGATTCATCTAGTAGGTTTTGATTGCTGAACTGTAGTTAGGGTTTAGTATATTCACAGCTGTAATCGTTTTCCATGTGCAGTCCTATGATGAGTTTATCAAGAAGACTGAAGCAGAGCTGAGCCAAGATCTGGAGGTATCACCAACAGCCAAACCTCAGATAAAAACTCCATCCTCAGCTGCTGCTGAAAAGCCTAAGATCAAGGCACCACCACTCCACAGGTAACTGGGGTTTCTCCTTCTGTTTGAGGCTATGCTGGAATTGTGTGGTGGTTGCTGTTCTAGCAGAAACCATAAGTACAAGGAGAGCTGGTGGTGGTTCTGCCTTAGAGCACGGGACAGTGGCAGTATCCTGTTGACCTATTTGCTGATCTCGCCAGGCTCAAAACAGATGGATCTCTACTGTCCTTGCAATCATATGCAGCTCACTTTTGTCATATCATCATCTCACCTTTGTCCTGCCCAGCCTTTCAGGGCCTATTTTCGAGTATTTTTCTGAACAATAATTTTCAGTTGTGCAAGAATTGTGCCAAATGGTTTGTATGGATGATAGACCTGAAGGAATGTTTTTCCCCATTCTGGTCATTCATCATGCCCACTGGACTGTGTGAGGCAATCTGTTCATCTTTACAGCTTTAATTTGGGTGAGATCTTAAGCTTTAAAAGGTGGAGAATTCAACTCGTTTCTGCCCTTCCTGCTGTATTTTTAAGCACTTCATTTTCCCCAGCAGATGGTGCAATTTTAGTGCTTGAATGCACTAAAAAACCAAAGGACTCAACTTATTTTCTTTTTCTCTCTTTTTTTCCTTGGCTGGAAAAAAAGAAGTTTGATTAGTCTTAAAAAATTGCTTTCCAGGACTCACCAGACTCTCCTCTCTGTCCCCATTCCTGTGTCCTAAGGTCACAGGACATTGACAAAGCAAAGTACCTATGTTATCTTTGGTGTGGTATTATAATTATAGATGCTTCTATTTCCATTTTTATCTATTGAAAACAAAAGAGAAAAAAACCAAACAGCACGGTCTGGTGCAACTGTGATTCATACAATTTGATTTTTCAAATTTAGGCCTGAGACAACTAAAAACTGGAAGTCACTGACTGAATCAGAGAGATCCAGAGCATCTTTGGAATCCATTTCAGAACATGCAGGTACGTGACTGGAGGAATCCATACTGCAGGTGAAGAACTTGAAGACTGACTGTTTTAGAGTTCTCTAACCTTTCCCTTGTTGACCCTGTTGAAGAGGTTTTAAGGGAGGGTGCAGACTTCATAAAGCCACAACGAGCAAACTGAGTTTTTCACTGGTTTTATTTAGTAGGATTCTGCTTTTGCTGAGGTTTGTATGATGCCATAATTAAATGAGAAGCTTTTTCCTTTCTTTTGTTTCTTGATCCTTCATCACTTGAGGAAAGCAAAAATAATGAAGAATTTAGGAAAGGGGGTTTTCCTTTTAGATATTTCTCAATAATTTGCTGTTGATCATTATCTGTCCATTATCTCCCATTCTAATCTTGGTTGTGTTTGCAGCTTGCAAACAAATAACTGAGCCCTGACAATGGCATAATGACATACTGGTACAAGGGACAGAATCAGAAAGAAAGCATGAGAACCTTGGAGCTGAGTGAATGTTGCTCGTGTTCATAGCACCAGTTAGTTTCAAGGCACCAGTTTGTGTCTTCCTTTAGCATAGAAACCTTGATGTTAATTTTGTTGCCTTTTCAATCAAACAATGCAGGTTGTACAGTCTACTGAAATTCATTTTTTATTTTCCTTCAAGATGCTCTGTCATCGAAGACTGAGAGGTCTGTGTCTGTGCACACCAAGAAGATGGCTGTGACAGATGTTCGTGCAGGAGAACCTTCTGGAATACCTTCCTCGGTTTTAAAATTACCAAGGAGTTCCAGAACAGGATCTGGTGATTGCTCAGATAGTGTCCCCTCATCAGCTCTTCTCAAAGACACGAAAGACATTAGCAGGATATCCCCTGAGTCAGTGAACAAAGTGGTCAATGCATCTGGTGTTGATGCTGCTGTTAGTCAGAAATCTGAGATTACAGAAGACTTGGAATACATAAAGTCAGAGGAATATGAGACTGAAGGTTCTCATGTTAAGCCTTTGGAGAGTTCTGATGTCTTGTTGACATTAGATAAAGAACAGGAGCACTCACTGGACCTCTGCTCTGAAAACAAACTCTCTCAGAAGGAACTATTTGATTTGGCTGTGGAAAGTCTTCATGGTGCAGAAGACACCTCAGAACAGAGTGTGGCAGATAAAGATGCTCTAACTGCCCCAAGTGCAGAGGAGGCTTCTCACAAGCTCAGCAAATCCGCAGAGGAAAAACCTTCTCTGCTTTCAGAACAGCTCTTGAGTCAAAAAGAGGCATCATACCTTGAAGACTTTGAGGGCTCCTCCTCCAGAAAACAAGCTTCAGCTGAGGAAACGCTTCTTGGGGAGCGATACAAGGACGACTTCGAAGGATCAGCTAACGGAGAGTCGCTGAGGGAGCAGTCCCAGCACACACAGCCCAGCCAGAGCGCGTCCCCCAGCCTCGGCAGCGATGGGGACATCAGTGAACACCTCAGCGAGAGGTCTCTCTCTGACAGCATGCACTCAGAGAGGCTGCTAGAGCTCAAGTCCCCAGCAGAGCTTATGAAGAACACAGAACGCAGAGATGTGGAGCAGGAACAGGCCCCCACGGGCTCACCGCTCTGGGCCTCGGTCTCTGCCACAGAAGAAACAGATAGTTTATCAGATTTCAACGTTGGTGATAGAGTACTTGTGAGTCAAGTCCAACCTGGAACGTTGCGGTTCAAAGGTCTGACTAAATTTGCCAAAGGGTTTTGGGCTGGTGTGGAGTTGGATGAACCTGAAGGGAACAACAATGGAACTTATGATGGGATTAAATACTTCGAGTGCGAAGACAGACATGGTATTTTTGCCCCTCCTCAAAAAATCTCTCACTTTACAGAAAGTATCAACAGCCATTTAGATATAAGTAAGGATGAGGACTCATTCTTTGATGATAGACTGGAGAAACAACACAAAGCTGAGCAGAAAGACAGAGGAAGTTCCAAACCTGGCAAAGAGGATGAAAGCCAGAAAAGAAATGCAACAGAGAACTATTCCCAGAATAAAGCTCCTGCAGACAGAGGTGTTTCAGAAGCCTCAGCTGAGGAAAAGGTTGAAGAATTGTCATCTAAAGCAAACAGCATAAAGGAGATACCTGTAACTCCTAGTTCCATTGCCCAAGAACAGTCAGTGGTGGATTATCTGAAGCAGGCTGTGAACGAGGAGCCCAGCCTCACTCCTCTTACTTCTAGTGTCGTGGATGAGATTTCCACTGTTCAGGTGGATGACATCTCTGATTTCCTTTCTGAAAAACTGGAGAGGCAGAAGACACTGGGAGAAGAGTGTGCTGAAAAGTTAGATGATCTCTCTCCTGGAGTTGTGGAGAAGTCTGCGACTCCTCTTCTGGATTTGCTGACAAAAGAAAAGAACCAGTTAGAAGCACAGCTCAGACTACCACTTAGAGAGGAGGAAAAGTCAAAAGACCAACTGGAAAAGGTCAGTTTGCTGACAGACAGTCTGCTTAGAGATTTTGTGAAAGACACAGTCAGCCAGTTACAGCAGATAAAGAAGGTGAGGAATGAGAAAATCCACCTCAGCAACCAGGAGCTCTGTGATGTGAAGGAGGAATCCAGTACCCCATCCCAGCAGGTTGAAAAGCAGATTCCAGATGGACTGAATAACTTCTTCCTAAGTTCTGATTTGGAAGATGACAGAGAAGAACTTTCCTCTCCAGACATGTGCCCCAGACCAGTGAGTAGCAGATGTCTTGCAGTGATTTAAAGAGCTGATTGTTCCTCTGAGGAATGTTGTGTGGCATCAGTTTGTGTCCCATGTTCTGTTGGGTGATGTGGAGATTAGCTGTGTGAATGTGCCTTACATGTTTGTTCTTGTGTACCTTTCTTGTCCATCCCAGTGCATGGCTGGTTTTGGTAGCTACACAGGCTGAAAGACACATTTTGGCATGTGAAAGTGAAAAATACTTCTTTTAGGTTGCATTCTGCTTCCATATTCAACTTGTATTTAATCCTTACCCTCAGTTTTCACTCTAAAAGTGGCAAAATAGAATAGACTCTAAACTTACCCGTCGCTTCTTGATATGAAATAATCATCCTCAAAGATAATTAATTGGTGTGGAGGTCATTAAGGAGTCAGCCTGCTCTATCCACTGAACTAATATGTGATGAACAGTGGAAGTTTAGACTTCCTCAGAGCAGCCATCAATGATACAGATACAGGACTTGGCCTTTCTGCTGGAAATCCCAGTAAACCTGCCTGCCTTGCCATGGATCTCAGTATATTATCCTCACTGGAAGCTTCAGCAGTCTGGGCACTTAGTCACTGGAACAGCCATTGCCTGCTAAAAGGTTTTAGGCTGTTGATTTAGATCTGAGACTGCTGGTATGTGAAGGGAGAAGTTGTATGTCACATAATCAGTCTTTAAACCCCTCGGTCTTTCATAAACAGGTAAACATTAGGATACAGTGAGCAGGATGCTCAGTCTTTAAGTTCTGTGGGAGCCCTCTGAAATCATTCATTCATCAGAGTGGTAGAAACCCCAGGGATTTGAATCAAAACATTGCTAATTTTACTGTGAGCTATTTCTTCATTTTTTTCTGAGTATTTGTGCCTTTATTGCCAACTGCATCAGTAAAGCATCATAAAAATTCAAGCTGAGTTAGACAACGGTGTGACACTGCTTTCATACTTGCTCTGTGGCTCTTAACTTGCAGGAGAGCCCAGTGTTTGGTGCCAGTGGTCAGGAAGAGCTTGCCAAGAGACTTGCAGAGCTGGAGCTCAACAGGGAGTTCCTGAGTGTGCTGGGAGATGATCAAGACTGGTTTGATGAGGACTATGGCCTGGGTTCCCGTCAGCTCCAGCAGAAGCAAACTGAGGAACCAGCAGTGCCACCCCAGGCAGAAGTGCAGAAGGTGCTGACAAAGCCGTGTGAGGAGCCTCTGGCAGTCCCTCACACTGCAGTGGAGGTGGAAGGTATGGTGCATGCAGCAGCTGAGCAGCTCTGGAAGCTGAAAGAGCTGGGTCATGATCTTCAGAGCTGCAGCCTTCATACAGATCTGAGTGGTCCCCTCCAAGATCAGGACACGGACACGATAAATAAGCAGGTTTATAAAAAGGTACAGTCTTCAGGCACTTTGGTCTTGCCCTTTGAATGTTTCCCATGTCCAACAGAAGCCATAACTTTTGCTTCTTTCTTTGTTAAGGTGGTATTTGATCTAACAAGAGAGATCTTTGGGGAAATCTTTGCTGAGGATCCTAATCTAAATCAACCTATTTGGATGAAGCCGTGTAGGATTGCATCTGCTTATTTTCGCCGGGTCAAAGATCCAAATGATCTGGATGAAATCAAGGTATGAAGAAATCTTTGCTGTGCTGTAAAAGTGAGATGAAAAACATTGTACTGGCACTTACCTGAGTGTTACAAGATCATAACAAGTGTATCCAGTGAGAGATGAGTTGAGAAGAGAAATAAGATTATAAACCTGAAAGGGAGTTTGTCAAAATGATCCTTTTTTACGCAACAGATTGGCCTCCCTGTCCTTTTGGCTGCTAGCGGTTGTTTTTAAACCTCAGTCCTCTGTGCGTAATTGCCAGGATGACCTTGATCTTATAAAATTGGTATGCTGACAGGCTGCTGCTTTAGCAGATTTCCATGGAACTCTGTATGGCTAAATTGGAGTGCATCCAGTGGTAGGGCTGGGCCAAATGGGATGAGCTGAATTCTTACTCAGACAGACACACCTGTGCCAGCATGACTGAGGACAGCAGGAGTTGCCCAGAGGGACCCAAAATTTGACTGGTGAGGGCATTGTTGTATTTAGCAAACCAGAGGAGGTCTCCTATTACTGGTGGTAGTGCTCAGGAAAGGACAAAACCCCAAAGAGCCAGAGCCTGACTGCACTTGGGTTAAATTTGCAGGGCTGGACATAAAACCTGTCCCCTGAAAGCACTCACCAAAGAGTTGAGTTGAGCCATATGGCTCATCAGGACACACATTAACTTGTCCAGCTGTGCTGTTTCTTCTAAAATTTAGGGCAGTTGGCTATATTTTGATTAACCTGCTGAAGGTACAGCATGTTAACTGTCTAGAAAAGACAGAAATAATATCTAGATCACTCTGTTAGTTGAGCAGACTTTCAAAAGTGTGTGGCAGGGGACAGCAGGGACACAGGACAAGGACACTAAACTCCCACCCTGCTTTTCTTTAATATTTTCCCACAAAATGAAGTGTCAGAATCTTCTGTTTGTGTACTGTTGAATTGAAAGTTTCTCTTCCCGTGATTGCTACAGCATTGGGTGTCATTTTTATTCTTCTCTGCTTCTGGCTGTAATAATTGTCCTGCCTGAGAGACGTGCAGTGTAACTTTGGTGCATGTGCTGTGTGTCTCTGAGCTAAACAGAAAGCTATTCTGAATTCTACAGTGTGACTTTTCAGGGGAGGTATTTTGTGCATACCTTTCATTTCTTACCTCTGATGTGATAATGATGAATCTTTACTGTTCTGTAGAGCTTCATTGCAGCTGAAGTGCTGAAGTTGTTCAGCCTGAGGAAAGAGCCTAATCACAAAACAGACTGGCAGAAGATGATGAAGTTTGGGCGGAAGAAGCGAGACCGAGTGGATCACATACTGGTAAGTGGGTGGCAGTAAACAGTCGTGTCAGACAGTGTCCAGCAGACTGAAGTGTGCCATATGGCTGTATTTTTCAGTATTCAGTCATGGACAAAAACAAAAGTGCAATGCCAATGAAGTGAGGTGACTTGAGGGAATTCTCTACTGATTTGCCTGCAGTGTAAATTTTCTCACTCCCAAAAGTTTAAGGCATAAATTTCCAGAAGGATAGCACTGAAATACTTGACTGAAAAGGAGAGTAAACTTCTCCTTTGGGAAGGGAATATGTTTGTTCTCTTACTTTAATTTAAAATACTGTTATTTTGAAGTAATATTGTTTTCATTGGAGACAGTGATAGAGAGAACTTCATTGAACTAGTGGATGCAGCTGCCACCAGGGTAGAGACAGTGCAGTGTTAAAACTGCCTAAGATGAGCATGTCCGGATGTGTACTAGTTTTTGAAAGTTCCTTGTTGGCTTGTGTTGCAGGATGATTAACATCTTTATTGGCTTTAATGATAGTGAAGGTTCTTCTTGGGAATATGAGTCGTCATTAACACTGTGCTTCACTTAATTATGCCTAAAATTGATTCCACACACGTGCACATATAAGGAACTTGGAGTCATGGGTCGTGTGGTCTTTTAATTGCCCATCACTGGAAGGTCTCCAGCACAAGCTTTTCCCAGGGGTTTAATTGTATGTAAACAGAATATCTGTGTATAGGTTCTAATACATCCTAATACACTTGATTCTGGGATGTGGAGGTTGTTAAAGCACAAAAAAACTCCTATGTTCAAATCCCTGAGAGAACTAATAGTACAGCTATTATGCTTGTGTTCCAGCTTCCTCATTTCTTTACAGCATGCTTAGTAAGAAAGATTCCTGACTGGAAAAAATGGTGCTAGTTGAAGGCATCAAAAGTGCTTTAGGTGAAATAAGTCTGAAGTTCAGACAATCCAGTCTGCGATTTACATGCAGACCCAGACATCAAAGATTAATGCAGCTCTGACAAGTTTGGCTTAATAAATGATGTGTTTAATTTTATTTTGTTCTCACAAGAATATGGTAATAAAATTTCAGCTGAGGAATGGGAATAACTGTGAAGGTTGCAGCATGCCATGCTTTAAGAGTAAGGAGTAAGGCAGTCTCAGTGGCATTGCTAACAAATTTATACTGTAATGTGAGACACAATCAGAGAAACTTCTGGCTGAAAACCTAAGGAGATAGTGTTCAGTTTCCCTTGCCTTATTTTATTAAAAGCTCTATGAAATATTAAGTATCAGCTTCCTCTGTCTCCTAGTCAGCCCCCAGCTTGTGCTTAAGGTCATGAGGTCAGTGGTAACACAGATCCCAGGCCAAAAGTGAATATACAGGTGAGTGCAAGACCTGCTGCCTATCCCCTAGCACCTCATGGTATAGCACTAAACAGAGAGGACAGTTTTGGAGTTCTCCTAATTTTGTTTGAAGTGTATTCCAGTAGTACAACAGAGCAATTTCCTGGAAGGTAAATAGAGACATTTTCTGTAGATTTAGGTGCTGTAGAAGCTTCTTTGGAAATCACAATTGAAAATGCTATATTAAGTTTTTGGGAAGGTTTATCCAGGGGATGTTGTGTATGTGCATGAGCTGGGTGATTGTTCACTTTCTTTTGCTGCTAAAGACTGCTAAAATGAAATGTGATCTTTTGAATGCAGGTATGAACATACTTAAATTTCTGTTATTTGCATTGAAACTTTGAGCACAGTTCCTCCCCAGCTCCTTCATTTCCCCTTTAAGTAAAATAAACCTTAAAATTAAAACATCCCTTGACAGATTTCTGTTGTCACAACTATGTATTTTAGTGACTTTGAGTGGATTGGACACACCTGACTGTCCAATGCTGCCTGACCCAGGAGCTAGGCTGGACTTTTATTTCTTCTGTAGGCACAGAAATAAATGCCAGGCTGTTTTACCAAACTTCCTCTCTCCCTGATTATCCCTGGATGTGTCCTCCTGGGTTTGTCATACTAAACCCAGTGCCCAGTGGTGGTTTTTGCCTCTGAAGGTTCAGCCTTGTGGTGAAGGGGCGTGGGAGGAGAAGCAGCCTGTGCTGCACTGGTGCTCTCTGTGTGACACTGGGAACCTCTGGGTGACCACAGTTGGCCATCACACCTGCTGGGAACTAAGGGGGAACAGGATGAATTAGTCTTTTACCTTCTTTCTCTGCCTTGAGCTTTGCTGCTTCCCTCAGTTGCTGCATCTTTAGTTGCATTTTCACTTTGATCTGTGCTTTCCCAGCATTGACACAAATATGGTTAACCATATTTTAGTGCCAGTGACAAAAAAACATCATCCTTTTCACTTGTTACCTTTGATCAGACATCTCTGTCCTCAGAAAGCATTTGGGTTGGAACTTCTGCAGGGATCTCTCCAATCTGCTGGATAGTTGCTCCAGTTATTAACATTTGCCACAAATCTTGGCTTTCAGTAAACAAGTACAGGATTTCACATTTATGAAAAGCTACCTTGTTTAAAATCAAGCTAAAGGACAATCTAGGTGTTTGCTTTGTTCCTCTCATGTCCCTTCCTGTTGCCCCTTTATCACGTGTGTGCTGTCTGTGCTCTGTGGATGATGTCAAATGTACACATAGGCCGAGGCATTGCATTTTGGTACATCACCTTCCAAAACCCGTTTTTAAACTACAGCAAGAACCCTCCTATCTCCCTTCAGGTGCTAACAATAGGTTGTTTCCACTCCTCTTTTTTTTTTTTTCCCACTTGGGTCTTCAGCCAGAACTCCCTGTGGTGATCTGTTTGCATGGGGCTAGAACAAACTCTGCCATTGCTTTCCCTGCCAGCTCCCCTTCCCTTTCATCCAGAGCTTGAGAAAGCAAAGCTCACATGATCCTGCCAAACCTATGTGTTTAGTTTTCACACCTGAGGAGCCTGCCAACACAGTGCTGAAAAGTGCTTGATCTTCTGACCTGTTGACTTAACAGCCAGAATGTTTCTCTCCATGCAGAAACTCTGCAACAAAGCAGGGCTGTCCTAGCCAAGCTGGCTGCATCAGAGAGCCCACTTCGGGCCACCCCAGAGCTACACCCAAGGGAGCTGCAGCAGTAAGAGGAGACTCAAAGCCTGCTTGTATGCTCAGTTGTGTGTCTCAGGATTTCCAGGCACTCTGAGAGCAAAGGGCTGTGAGAATGCACCTGCCTGCCCTCCCCCTGATGGCGTTTTTCCAGGGCACTACTTTGTCTGAGTGTTTATTCTTTTCAGACTCCCAGATGGTCTAGTGACTTCTTAAATGTAGTTTAGACTGGAGATACTTGTGGTTTTGAATGGGAACCTCTAGAAAGCGAAACATGCTTACTCAGTCTCTGAAGTTCCTTCTGATTATATTACTTTAAGTGGATTTTTTGGGTACTGTAACAATTTTTAGAAGGCCTGCAGGACTACGTGACCATCTTATTTCCTGATTTCTCCTTTGTGTGCATGCTGCCTCGTTTCTTTCTGTGTTTTTTTAAAACAAAGTGTGCATACAAAAAAAAGGCACACAAGCCCCCCAGCCTTCTGGATTGCATCACTATTGACCTTTTCCTCTAGGATGGAATTCAGGTTCATTAAAACTGTTGTTCTCCTGACTTGGCCCAAATGCAGCTTCTCTCTGGTATAGAGATCTTACCATCAAATGTGTGAAGTTTTAGTTTTGTCATGAGAACATGCAAGAACTTAAATGGTGTGCATATACTAAGACAAGGCAAAGCCCATTCCCATGAAAACCAAACTGTCTCCATTGCTTAGAAGCAGTTTATGGCAATACAACAAATGGATCAAACCTTTCCCAGACAGAGGAGTCACAGCTGGCCTGGCTCAGGTGGCTGCAGCCAGGGCTGCAAAGCAGCACAGCAGTTTCCACACGTGTTCTGACCACACTATAAACAAGACTTGCCTGCAGCTGCAAATTGCACATTCTCTCAGCTTTCCAAAGTATGCTCGAGGAAGTCCTCCTAATGCCAAAGGAAATTGTGCACTGTGCCTCTGAGAGAGAGAGGACAATGATAGAGGCAGAGAAAATTAATCACCAGGACTGTTTTGCATTCTTCTTCTTTCTGCTGTTCGTAGACATCCAGCCTTTCTCTGCCCAGATCAAGTGTCTTCTCTAGGCCTTAACTTAGCTCCCCAGGAGTGAGGGAGAAAGTGAGGGACCCTGCTGGCCTGGGAGGGTCAGGCAGCAAATCACCTCAGTCAGTATCGTGCAGCTTCTCCCAGTTACCAGCCTTGAACATCAGCAGTCAAGGTCCTTGGGTGTCCCCCAGCATTTGTCTCCACCTACCTCCCTCATCCTCAGGATCTTCTCCCCATTTCCAACATCTTGCCTAGAGCAAGGATCTTCACCTTCTCCCTCTGGGCCACCCGTTTTCTTTCCCAGACCATTTCTGCTTTTTGAGAACCCTACTTTTCAGCACCACCTCTTCTCTTTGTGACATCTTTCCTCTTGCTTTTCCTTATTGAAGTAGTCTGTGATGCTGACACACAGCTCATGGTCAGTCTGCAAACTGCTGCTTCTGTGTTGACTCTGGGCGTGCTGCTATTGTTTACTTGATCAGAATTTACAAGCAGCACATGCAGGTTGCAGGCAGGACACCTCTGTGCCAGAGTTCAGGAGTTCTGTTTCAGACACTCATCCCCACACAGACCTACACCAAATTAGCTGCCACTTCTTAGCCTTTCATTTAAATTATTTTTCACCTACACCACTTGATTACCAATAATGTTGTTTCTTCCTTATTAGTAAGAAGCCTAATGAAGCCATTAGCACCTCGTCTTTGACAGCTCTATGGGAAAGAGGTTCTGGCTGTGGTAGCACGGATTAGCATGACTCTTCCCAAAGCTGTTTGCAGGATGAGATCCCTGCTCCTCTCCTCAAACTCTGAAGAGAGGGAGAAAGGAGGTGTTAGACTGAAGTCACCTGTCTATCTGAGGCCTTATGAATGGCTGCAAACCCTGCAGCAGTGCTGGTTCCCTGGGGTTCCCAGAGCAGCCTGTTCCTGGGCTTCACACTGTGCTGGGGTTATTGAGTCATCATCATGCTGCAGCAGCTGTCAGCTGCAAACCAGACGTGGTTCTGGGAGGTTTAGCTGCAGGCAACAGCAAAAGAGGGAGTTGGGGCTGTAGCTCATGTCCTCTCTTAGAAGACAACACTATTACAGATTGGTCCCAGATTGGTGAGCTTCTCAGTATGTTTTAACCTTGTTTTGGCAGTATCTGGGTGTCCACCCCACTTGTCTGTGTGAATACATTTTGGGTGCAGAGTGTAGGATTTATAGTCAGAGGAACTTCCTGCTGGAGCTGAGCAAAGAAACAGCTTTCAGCAAGTTTTCTTGGTTATTTTAAATACAAGTGATGTTTGCATCCACTTTTTTTTTCCTAAAAAGTTTGAGCTTTGTTAGGGTGTGCCTGAAATGGACACTAAGACAAATCCTTAAGAAGGTTAATTGGAGATGGAGAGATTCTGGATAAGACTTGATTTGCTGAGTGAAATCATGTCTTTCTGTCTCTTACTAAAACATCTCTTGGCCAGTAACCAGTAAACAAGGATTTTCCTTGTCAACAGTTCAGGAATAGAAGGAAATAAATACTCTTTGAAATTAACTGTACAAAATTCCATTTGCAATAATGCTGTCAAATCCAACCAAGCATGGAGTATTCTATACAAATGAGTGGTAATAGTATCTTACAGCACGTGTTCCTATGCAGAAGAATTGGAAAAGTTAGTTGTTTGCTTGAAGTTTTCCAATTCTTATTCCTATAAACTGAACTGCAGTAAAGTCCTTTCTCTTTCTCCTTCCCCTGTTCAAGGCATTTGCATGATTTCTTACCAGTTTAAGGCTCATGTGGGATCAGCTTCTTGCAAATACATAATTAAGGGCTTTTTTAATGGAGCTTCTGCCATTGGCTAAGAATATCCCATTAGCTGAGTTCTTTCAGGTAAAAAACTCGTGCAGGAATATTAAATCCTTTAAAATGGAGGCTACACTGAAGGTAGAAACATTTGTGCAGTGAAATTAGCCTGGTTCCAACAGATCTGTGTTCATTTTGCTATTCCAAGCGTTTCCTGTAATCTCTTACAGAGACAGAGGGGTTGTTGGCAGATACACACTGCTTTGGACTCTTTCTGGAACTTTGCAGGGCATATTATCCCAGAGCAACAGAATTGTAACGTTTGTATTGCCTTTCTACCCTCCAAGGTGCAGGAACTCCACGAGGAAGAAGCACAGTGGGTGAACTACGACGAGGACGAGCTGTGTGTGAAGATGCAGTTGGCAGATGGGATCTTCGAGGCCTTAATCAGAGACACTGTTGATGTGCTGAACCAGATAAACGAGAAACAGCGGAGACTGCTGCTGGTCTGACAGTGCTGGAGGGAGCTCCCAGCTGCAGAACCACGGAGCCATGGGCTTCTCTGGCTCCTGACCTGCTCTTCACACCCTGCACGTGCTGCTGCTGCTGCTGCTGGACTTCCACACGTGAGGTTTCAGGGCAGCTCAGATGTGGTGAAAGGGACCTGAACTTGCATCCGCTGCCGCTGGAGACCTCACTCCAGATTTGCTGTTTGGAGCAAGCTGATCCCTCACTCGAGGCTGTGTTGCAGAGTGCTCAAGACTGTTTGTGTGCCAATGCAGTTATAGCACAACTGTCAGCAGCTGCCTGGGGCTTTGACATGCTCAGCTTGTTCCCTGAAAGGGTTGGGTTAAGTTGGGATATTGGCTGGTTTGCTGCAGTGGCTGTCGGCCATCAGTACTCATCTTTAGAAATGTGAGTCATTTGGAGAAGAAACAGTTTGGTCAAGTTTGGGTCATACGTGGAGACTTACCCTACTGAACACTGTTATAATTGTAACACCTCTTCTCCTGCAGCCCTAACAATGTGCATCAGTTTCTTCTGCTCCAGAGCCCATTTAATTCACTTCTCTGTGAAGCTGGTTTTCAGCTTTCTTCTGCAATGTGGTACCAAGCAGGGTGCCAGCCAGACCAGGGAAACTGGGTGATGTTGCTTCCTGCATACAAGTAAAGAATTCTTGCTGCTTTGCGTGTGCAACTTGCTCCAGTCCCAAGGCAGAGCAAGGTAAAGGCTGCCTAATGTCGAGCGTGAAAGATGAGCCCGTGGACAACTTTCCTCCTACCGTGTAGCACTTCTCTTCCTGGAGCACCAGTTGCTCCCAGATAATGGATACTCAGGATTTTCTCAGGCACGAGACATGCAGGAGTGGAACATGTTTCCTCACAAAAGAATTTGGCCTTCAATCCCTCAGCTTCCTCCCTTGCTGTCACCTAATAATTTGGAGAAGCTGTTACTTGAACAATGTAGAGAACAGTGTATTCACCAAAGAAAGTGGTGTCTGGTGCTTGACTTGTCTGCATGTTTTGTGCTTGTGGGTTTTTTATTTATTTTCAGATAATTTATTAAGTGGGTTGTAGGAGAGTGTCCTGTGCAGTTGGCTGCACTGGCTTGTGTTTTGAGACGGAAGAACTTGAGAGAGCATCTGGTTTGGAAACTTCCAAACCCCCATATTCCTCACATGGAACCTCCAGCTTCCTGAGGCAGATATGAGGGGGGTGAAGGTAAGAACCACCAGACCTCAGTGACCAGAGATGGGACACAAAGACAGGACTAGGAGTGGAGCTTCACTGCACCTGGTTTGGAGACGATGAAGAGTTGAGGGGGCTGAGCTGAAAAATTATGTGAAAATTCCCAGCTCCATCTGTTTCCTTCCTTTCCCAGAACTTCTGTTACGTGGTTGATGTGGTGCTGGATTCAACTGCAGTGTCCTTCTGCTGTGTGCTCATTCCTAACCTCTTCCTCCCATCCTTGTGTTTTCCCTGGAGAAACATGGACAGTCTGGGGTCGAACGTTGATGCCTTAATAGTGGATGTCCCTGTTTGGGACAAGACCCAGAGGAAAGTCGGATTCTCCAGACACACTGGAGTGCAGAAAGACACTTTGAAGCCCCCAGAGGTGCCCCAAAGATGCTGCAGCCCACATCAGGTGTGGGGGGAGATCTCAACTGTTTTGGATCATCTAGCTGGTTCTTGGGCTTCCTGCTATGCATACCTCTGCTCCTGCTCCAGTTTGGGTTCTCTTTTCCACCTTTTTGTTTGGTTGGGTTGTTTATTGTTTGGGGTTTTTTTGGAAAGTTATCATTGGAATATTTGCATTTTGCACAATGACACACAGCTGGTAATTCTTCAGGGACAGCACTGGGAAATGTTGGATTTTGCCAGAGGTCCATGCAGATTCTCAGATGTAGTGTTGCCAGCACCTCACTTGTGAGTTAATGGTGAGCCATATCCATGGGAGCTTAATGAGTGGAAGAATAAGGAGGTAGTGGTGGAGAGGGACACCTCCAACAGGCATATCATATGTCTGTCCCACAGTAGTGACCCTTCTGGCTGGCTGGAAGTCAAATGGTCTTGGTTTGGAGCATTGCTCAGCCTTTTTTTTCTTGAGTGATTCATTTGTCCATGTAAAATGTCACAATGCTGAACCAGGAAACTCTTGGATGCTTAAAACAGAAGCAAACTAAAGCTGCTAGATTTAACCAACATGGTGTCACTGCTTGGGTCACCGCCTCAGATTCCCTTTCCTGGGTGTATCTCTTTCAAT